CCCCCCCCCACCCCGTCCGACAGCCCCCCCCCCCACCCCGTCTGACAGCCCCCCCCCACCCCGTCTGACAGCCCCCCCCACCCCGTCGGTCTGACAGCCCCCCCCCCCCATCTGACAGCCCCCCCCCCCCGTCTGACAGCCCCCCCCCCCCCCCCCCCCCCCCCCCCGACCCCGGTCTGACAGCCCCCCCCCCCCGTCTGACAGCCCCCCCCCCCCCGTCTGACAGCCCCCCCCCCCCCGTCTGACAGCCCCCCCATCTGACAGCCCCCCCCCCGTCTGACAGCCCCCCCCCCCAACCCCGTCTGACAGCCCCCCCCCCCCGTCTGACTCCCCCCCCCCCCCCCCGCGCTGACTGTGTATCCACATTGTGTCTGATACAATATTGTCGCCTGATTCATCTCCTGGTTAGTGTTTGTCATTGATTCTCTCTGTGTCTCTCACTGTGTGTGTCTCTCTCTCTCTGTCTGTCCATCTCTGTGTCCCTCTATCTGTGTCTCTCTGTGTGTGTCTGTCTGTATCTCTCTCTGTGTTTCTCTCTGTGTCTCTCTGTCTGTATCTGTGTCTCTCTGTCTGTATCTCTGTGTCTCTGTCTGTATCTCTCTCTGTGTCTGTCTGTCTGTATCTCTCTCTGTGTCTGTCTGTCTGTATCTCTCTCTGTGTCTGTCTGTCTGTATCTCTCTCTGTGTCTGTCTCTGTCTGTATCTCTCTCTGTGTGTCTCTGTCTGTATCTCTCTCTGTGTGTCTCTGTGTCTCTCTGTCTGTATCTCTCTCTGTGTCTCTGTCTGTATCTCTCTCTGTGTCTCTGTCTGTATCTCTCTCTGTCTGTCTGTATCTCTCTCTGTGTCTGTCTGTCTGTCTGTCTGTCTGTCTGTCTGTCTGTCTGTCTGTCTGTATCTCTCTCTGTGTCTGTCTGTCTGTATCTCTCTGTGTCTGTCTGTCTGTATCTCTCTCTGTGTCTGTCTGTCTCTGTGTGTCTCTGTCTGTATCTCTCTCTGTGTGTCTCTGTCTGTATCTCTCTCTGTCTCTCTGTTTTCTTTGCAGTTCGATCATCGCGAGTTTCCAGGCGTTGTTCCGAGAACTTTCCTGGGGCCACTGTTCATTTGCTGCTTGTCTGCTCCGGCAGCTGCTGTGCTCTCAGCCCTCGACCTCCCCAAGTTTTACTCTCAGCTTCTAGGTATGTCTCACTCACACCCCAGACACAGCGGCCCATTTGCAGTTTGGAATTCGACTCCAATCTCTCAGTTTTAAACCATTGTAGTTTGTGCCAAACGTGCGAACAAGTTGAATCAACACTGCTTTTCGTTTGCATTAGACAGTACCCAGCAAACCAGTAACTTGACTACAAACTTCCCCATGGCACAATAGCTATAGCGGTGGAAATAAAAAAATAATAATCCTTGCATTTGATAAAGCGTCTCTGTAACTTCTAAACAACATTGAGTTTTGTGTTCAGATTTAACATAACCAGATAACCAGTTTAATCATTATTTGTGGCTTCTGACATCCCAGCTGTAACCATTTACATTTATTTTGCTTCTTTCAAGGCCGTCTCGAAGCACTTCACACAGATGAGGGAGGGGGGTAATCAATCCACCAATCGACTTAACAACCGGGTTCCTACTTACTGCAAGGTAAACAGGCGAGAGGCACAAGGAAACTTGCCGAACGTTTTGCCCTGCCGGGAATCAAACCCACGTCCTCTCACTTGTGAGGCGAGCGCTCTTAACCACTAAGCTACAACAACAAGATTTCATTTATAGAGCGCCTTTCACATCGGGAGGACGTTTCAAGGCGCTGGACAGTTGGGTCCAGCTGTAGGACTCCCAAGACATTCTCCTAAGCCTTTCATTTATTATATACAGCATAATAATAATAATAAATTGTTCACTCAACCCATGACTGTTTGTGGTACACTGCTCTGCGTAATTGGTTGCACAATTGGTTTCACCCACAAAATATACAGTCAATTCACTTTACAGTATATTCTGTGAAGTGCTTTGAGACGTCTCGAAGACTTGATAAGCGCTATAATCAAATGCAAGGATTATTATAAGTGTAGTTAGCAATTGTATTTTTGTAGGCAAACTCAAGTAGACAAGGTTTTCAACAGGCTTATTGAATACTACAACTGAATTTCTACTCCCGTTAACATATAGGAAAACCTGAATTTGTTAAAAAAAATATGTCATTTTCACCCACCAGTATCAGGTACCACAGCAGTAATCTTGGGCATCTGTATGAATGAGATATTGATATTTTGACAGCTCATTTTTTTTAAGGGAATCACTGTAGTAATGGAGCCTCTGATCAGTAAATCACACTGTTCTAGGCTAGAAATGGTTTTAGAATAATTTATGGATATTTTTGCTACATTGTGGTTTGTTGGTACAGATCACTTGGGAATAAAGTTCAGTCTATAATCCTGGTCATGGTACATTTTAATGCATAGAATTTTGAGAAGTTTTACACACTTTTAACAGTAGAATGTGTGGACCGCTGTCCTATTAACCTTTGTGCTTGTAGGTTTTTCTGGTTAACTCGTACTTCTGGTTGAAGAAGCAGGTGTTTAACTGCAGAAGATAGAATGACAACTTGTATTTCTTTTTATAAAATGATTTATGAAGTTTAATTTGTGTTTCTGAAACCTGTGAGAAGTATGCCTCCTTTTAACCAGTTTCTGTGTTTGTTTGGCTTTGATTTCCGTGTGTCAGGAAACTGCTGTGATCAGCTTCTTTTGTCTCTTGTTAACAGTGCGAGGATGTCTGGGCCTATGTGTGATTTATGGACTATGGAAACTTCAGAAAGAAGTTAGGAGACAGTTTGGTTCAACGGTGGCTTATTTTTTCTGTTTGATCACCGCCACCCAGTTTCATCTTCTCTTCTACTGCACAAGAACCCTACCAAATGTCTTTGCACTTCCTCTTGGTGAGTTCAGTTCTGTAATTCTTAATTTTAGTATAAATGTGTAAGGAAGGGGGTCAGTTGTAATCTAAATGCTACACCAAACCCATAAGAGTGCATGAGGGATGCCATCATTTATTTTTATAATTGGGCTGCCAAATGGTCGAAAAATAGTTTCATCGCAGAAAAGTAGTGGTGGGATCTGGTAAACAGAATAAAGCTTATAGTCTTTCTGAGTTCTACAACTTTTTTGTTACAACAATGTTGTGTTGGTTTTAGGAAGAGGAAGGGAACTTTTTTTTGTTCTCTTTACATTAAACACTTAACATCCTTCCTGGTGCCCTTATTCAAAAAAAAATCAACCTGTGGTTTTAAAAAAAGTTCTATTGAATTTCTTTTTACTCATAACTTGGAGTCCTGTAGCTCAGTGGTTAGAGCACTCGCTTTGCGAGCGAGAGACCTGGGTTCAGTTCCAGGCAGGGCGAAACCTTGGGCAAGTTTCCTTACTCCACACGCCTAATAATAATCCCTCCAAAACAAAAAACAATAACAAATTGGTCATTTTCAATCTACGACTGTTTGTGGGACATTGCTGTGCGCAATTGGCTGCCGCGTTCGCCCACAAATATACAGTCAATTCACTTTACAGTGTGTTCTGTGAAGCGCTTTGGGACGTCCTCCCGACGTGAAAAGCGCTATATCAAATGCAAGGATTATTATTATTATTATAACTTCCTGTTTTTTTAACTTATATTCCCTGATATTTGAACCATGGTGAATGATTTACTTGGACCGAAAAATTGATTCTCTCAATAATCTATTAGATAGCTCCAATAAATAATAATGCTTGCATTTAATATAGGGTATTTTATCTTAGCAGATCATCTCAAAGTACTTCAAAGGATTTACTGTAAGGTTTAGAGATTGTGTTTTTGTAAGCAAAATCAAATCAAAAAATTTACATTTGATATATTGCCTCATGTCTCAAAGCATTTTACATAAACTTGCTTTGGAGAATAATGAGTGTTGTTATCTGGGCAAATACACCAGCAATATCCCACAAATTGCAATGGAATTGAAGATAACTTTACCTGGTTTGCTGTGAATTTGGATGAGGGAGCATTACTGTCCAGGACTATGGGGAAAACTGCCTCCTTGCTTCCAAATAGTTAAAAGGTATTTGCATTTCAGATCTTATTGAAACAATTGGACAGTCCGTGGGGGGTGGGGGGAACCAGCATCTCAAATTTAGAGCAGTTTCACCTTTGATGTACCGCAATTCTACAGTCTAATGAGAGGTGAGATATTAATAAATTGCATTCCAATACTAACAGGACATAATGACTGAAACTGTACAATGTGTGCCTGGGTTGGGACTAACTAACCATTTGTAGTTCGCTTGTGGATCAAATTCAGGTTTAAAATCATGTTAAAATGTATTGATTTTCTTTTAGGTTTCTTAATGTAATAAATATAAATTTGCATTGTTTTTGTTGTAGTTCTATTGGCGTTTACTGCTTGGATACAGCAGAACTATGGTATCTTCATCTGGCTTTCTGCCTTAGCTATCATTGTGTTTCGATCTGAACTATGCATATTACTGGGCCTCATGTTACTACTATCATTAGTGAACCACCGGATTTCTATCTTCAAAAGTCTGTACCACGCAGTACCAGCTGGGTTTGTATGGCTGGGTAAGTAACCTACTGTTAATTTTCAGGATTTTATAAAGAAGCGATCTACGTAGTCAAAGTAACCGTGTGGCACATTTCTCTTTCAGGTCTGTCAGTGTGTGTGGATTCTGTATTTTGGGGACGTCTTCTATGGCCTGAGGGTGAAGTACTTTGGTACAACACAGTCATGAATAAGAGTTCGGAATGGGGACTATCCTTTACGTAGCTTACAGATAGATTTAAAAGAACATGTCCTCAAGATAGTTTCAGAAAAGGCGGCAATGTTTCATTATCGTTGACTTTCTTTACTTGGAAGATAGGTTTTAAAGAATCAATCAAAGACTGTACTTGTACAGGTTAAGTTTCTCAAATTGCTCTGAGAAATGAAGTGCTTTTTTAAAAAGCTAATTTTTAATGATGGTGTGGTTTAGTGCGATTATCCTTTTGCTGCTGGAACATGAGTTCGGATCACAGTACAAATACCTGCTGGCTATACAGGTCCTAAATGAAATAAACAAATATTTGTAATAGTAATTGTATAGTTGCATAGTATTCGTGGAGTCCTGTAGCTCAGTGGTTAGATCACTTGCCTTGCAAGCGAGAGACCTGGGTTCTATTCCCGGCAGGGCAAAATGTTGGGCAAGTTTCCTTACTCCACACGCCTTTGTTGATCCAGCAGTAAGTAGGAACCTGGATGTTAGCCGATTGGCGGATCGCTTTTCTGGGGTTGATAATCCTTCAAAAAAATAATAATTTGATCACTCAATCCATGACTGTTTGTGGGACACTGCTGTGCCAATTGGCTGCTGCATTTCACCCATAAATATACAGTCAATTCACTTTACAGTATATTCTGTGAAGCGCTTTGAGATGTCTAGAAGACGTGAGAAGCACTATATCCAATGCAAGGATTATTAGCAGTAGTCCTAGAAGGCAACCATTACAGCATTAATTGATTTGAATTAAGAAAATAATTTGTATTTGCTGCATTCCTGGTTAATTTCAAATGTGTTAGGAATATTGAATTTTGATCATAATGCAATTTATAACCCTTTCTAAACATATATTGTATTATTTTAAGTTTAATAGTTTAAGTGAAAGGTTAGTTTCATTATGCTTCCTTGACTGAATATCTCTTTAGACATCCCCCTTTTTCTGGTATTTCTATTCGGCACTGCCCAGGGCTCTCGGCTGCAGTGTTATTTTTCTTCCTCTGGGAGTTCAGGACCGGAGGTGCTGGAGTTTACTCTTCCCGACACTTGGCTTCATCTTTTTATATTCATTCCTACCACATAAGGAATTGCGCTTCATAATCTACACGTTTCCCATCTTGAATGTGGTAGCAGCAAGAGGTTGTTCATACATGTAAGTATTCATTTTACATTCGTTTGTAAGTAAACAAAGATTACAAAGAATGTACAGCATTGTGATAGGCCTCTCGGCCCAACCAGTCCATTGCGATGTTTATACTCACAGGAGTCTTCACCCTTTCCTTATTCCCTCCCAATATACTTCTAATTGCCTATTCCTCAAGTGAAGATCTTGATTCCTCTCGAATGCATCTTCATTATTGATTCAACCAATTCCACAATCTCACTACCCTCTGGTGAAGTAGTTATATATAATAATAATCCTTGCATTTGATATAGCGCTTTTAACGTCGGGAGGACGTCCCAAAGCGCTTCACAGAACACACTGTAAAGTGAATTGACTGTATATTTGTGGGCGAACGCGGCAGCCAATTGCGCACAGCAATGTCCCACAAACAGTCGTAGATTGAAAATGACCAATTTATTATTGTTTTTTGGGTTTTTGGAGGGATTATTATTAGGCGTGTGGAGTAAGGAAACTTGCCCAAGGTTTCGCCCTCTGCCTGGAATTGAACTCAGGTCTCTCACTTGCAAAGCGAGTGCTCTAACCACTGAGCTACAGTTCCTCCTAATTTTCTTTTCGATCCCCTTGTCATTATCTTATATTTGTATCCCCTGGTTATGGACACCCCAACCAGTGGAAACAGTCTATTTATGTTAAACTTATTGAATCCTTTTATGACTTTAAACACTTCTATTAGGGCCCACCTTAAACATCTCTTTAGTGAAAAAGACCTAACCTATCCAGTCTATCCTTACAGCAGTAACCTGCCAACCCCAATATCGTCCTGGTAATCTTTTCCATCACTGCTATTTGCGATGTCCTTCTGACGTTTAAGACGCTTTACCAAATGCAAAGATTATTATTACTATTATAATATCCTTCTTATAGTGTAGAGATCAGAACTGGACACAATTCCAAATGTGCTCTCACCAAGGTTTTGTATGAATTCAACATCACCTCCTTTTATATTCTATACTTCTGGATATAAAGCCCTTTTTATGGCCTTATGTACCTTTTATGGCCTTTTTATGGCCTTATGTACCTGTGTCATCTGTAAATCCTCCTAAACCTAAATCCAAGTCGTTTATGTATATTGTGAATAGTAGCACTCCCAACATGGATCCCTGTGGAAAAACACTTTCTATCTCTTTCCAGCCTGAAAACACAAATTGCATTTACATGTTGGGAGTATGTCCCAAGGCACTGGACAGTCAAGAGTTTGTACCTTAATTAAGACCTTACTAACTACCTTGTTTATTTTCTCACAGAATGAATAACTACCGGAAGTCCTTTCTGTGTAAAGTGGGCTCCTTCATTGTCATTAATCATCTATTGGCAAATGCTTTTAACACTGGGATTTCACTATATGTGTCCCACTACAATTATCCTGGAGGGGTCGCAATGCAAAAGTTGCATGAAACTGTACCTCCGACAAGAGGTTTGTGACTTCTCTATACAGAACACCGATTAACTTGAACACTGTGTTACTTGAGCAAACCAGGAGAACAGAATAGATTTTGGCGATATCTATGCTGCTGGATTCAAAAATCTAATATAATACTCTCAGAATTTTGCATTTGCTTATTTGTAATCTTTACCTACCCGGGGGGGGGGGGGAGAAACGTCTACTTAGAACTGGTACACAGAACTTGTTACAGATTTGGATCTAATTTTTATACATGCTTTGAAAATTATTATAATTCTATTTAAAAATTAGAGTTAATGGTAATTATGAACTTACATATATATACATATAACTAAAAGGTCCCATACATTGCAACTCAAGGCTTGTTTGCACTGCTGCTGAGTTAACTCCTGTTTGATGCTTAAAGGCTTCACCCACTTGCATCTTTGACAACTGTTTTGGCCATTGAACTCTTTTAAGCCTCAGATGGCAGAAAAATGAGCAGGACACACCTTGACCTTGTGAATCACTGCTTTTATGGCTTTTGAATGGATGAAAAACTGACATTTGAAACTTATTTTTTGAATGTTGCTCCCATCTCCAAAGAAGCAAATGGATGTGGGCAACACATAGAAGTTGAAAATTTAGCCATTTCTAAAGGGATTTGTTCCCATTAACCTGACGGAAATCTGCTCCAGAACTAGATTGGGTCCAAGTGGAGATGTAATGTACAGTACTTCTGGTTATTGGAAAATCTTGTGAATAATCATAATTGTTGAAATATTTGGGTGTTTCTACTGCTCGTTCTCATGTTTTCGTTTCCCTGCAGCTGTTTCATTGCACATTGATGTGGCTTCTGCACAGAGTGGAGTGTCCAGATTTCTAGAACTCAATGAAAACTGGAGGTAAAATATTTCCTTAAAGGCAATTGATAGCAGTTACTAAAATGTATTGTATGGCATTAATTTACATCTCATTTTAATTTGAAGAAGCTTTTCTCCAAGGACATTGTTTTTCCTAAATATACTGACATTAATTAACTCATCTTTTTTTCTACTGGGAATTTTAAAAAAACTCTCCCCATTTAATTTGTCTTGTACTTGTATTGTACTTATATTATGTCTATCTTTTTATTCTACTTATTTTGTTCAGTGATACAATCACTTGATTAACTTGGACAGTCTCTAGATCACAAGGTTATGGCAGGGCGAAACCTTGGGCAAGTTTCCTTACTCCACATGCCTGATAATAATCCCTCCAAAACAATAATAAATTGATCATTTTCAATTCACAACTATTTCTGGGACACTGCTGTGCGCAATTGGCTGCTGCGTTTCGCCCACAAATATAATCAATTCACTTTACAGCATTTTTTTTAAGCTCTTTGAGATGTCTAGAAGACGTGAAAAGCGCTATATCAAATGCAAGGATTATTATTATTGGTTTAAAGTGCATGTCAGGATTTTGAGCTTCTGATCTAGGCTGGTACTCGGGTGGTTTTGAATTGGCGAAAATGCCATTCTGCAGAGTGAGACATTAATTGTGATTGCATCTGGTTATTCAGGTGGATGTTAAAGGTACACTGTTCAAAAAGATAAGTTTCTCCCATCAGATAAAATGGTCATTGTTCAATTTTTGCAGATCAGTGTTCCAATGGTAGGATAATTTTTTTTCTTGTTAATTTTCTTAGTCTGTCTCTCCTTGTTTATATTTTATTTTCCCAAGCCTCATCTGCTAAAACTGTGGAAATGGAGAGTATTTTAATTGGTGTTGGCTTTCTAATGGGCTATGAGTGGCAGTTACCTATTGCTTGCACCAAACAGCTTTGCTGACATAGTTTACAGGAAGGAGCCAGAGAGGTACATTGAGCTTAAGTGAACTTCAGATACGTTTTAAGAGATAAGAACATTTTTTTTTAGTAATTTTCATGTAATCTGTATTTTAGAGCTGTGACTACCAGCACTTTGGGACGTCCACCTGACGTGAAAGGCCCGATACAAATGTATTTGTTGTTGTTATGTTCAAAGGAACAACCTGTACTTAAATGGCACTTTTTATGCAAGATGAATGCCTCAAATTGCACTAAACATATTATTTATGTCATTTTGTAATAACTTCAGGAAACCCTGACTTAAATGCATAATTGTGATAATGTTTTTTTTCATTTTTTTATTTCTAGGTATGACAAAAGGGAAGATATTAAACCAGGAGATATCGAGTTTGATGCATATACGCACATTTTAATGGAAATGAACTCAACTCATGTATCACGTTACAGAAATACACATAGGATATTACTGAGTATTTCTGCATTCAGGGGAATTGGATTTAATATATCTGAATTTCCTCCCATTTATGCTAAACTTGAAACGACATTGGTTATATTAGAAAAAATACACAGCAGATCACTTCATGAGAATGTAAAGAGGAAAGCATAAGAAAAAAATCTACCTACTGTAAGATGTTCGGATGGAGAAAACCAATATGGTGGTGTAATACTCCAAAGTTTTATTAAATAATATTGACAGCCAGAGAGTTGATCAAACTAGTCTAGTTTATCCTTCTAACTGGGACCATAGATACAGTAAAATCAATAATACCTGATCCCACTGGGAACAAATGTTGACCCTCTAAGACTCTATTTCAAAGTTACTTTTTTTTAAATATGTGTTTCTAACTCCGCCTCCTGTTGTCACTGAAAATGAAGCCCCTACCCTTCGCAAGCTGTTAGTGACCTTGAGTAGGCTCTTTTCCTATGGGAAAAGAACTGATAAGGGGAGAGTTGGGCAACTTTTTGTTTTGGGAGCCTTCTCCAACCTTTGTGTTTCTCATCCTTGAGATAAATACGTGTCTGAGGGAGGCTGTAGCCTTTTTGGTCTTTTGTTTCCATATCTGTGCTCAGTACCAGATTGATTATCTCAGAGTGAATATCTTCCCAAGAAAATATGAAATACAATCAGACCTTAGCTGGGTCAAGCCAATATATCTTTAACCTTGCTAATTGGCACATGTACCCAGGAATTAAATGAGTGAAAGTTATCAGAACCTGACCTCAGCAGGGCTCAAGCCAATACATCTTTTCCTTTGCTAACACTGATTACCAAAACCCTCTCAGGCACCCTGAGCTAGTCATTAAAACAAACAACCTTGTCCATGCCCTAGCACCTAAGAAATGCTATATCAAAAAAAAAGTTTGGTTACTTTCCAAAAAGTATATTAAAAACCTTAAAAACAGTAAACATCACAAATATAATCTTACACTACCCAGTTCATTCATTATTTACAAGCTGATAACAATCACCACAAAATTACATTTGTATAGCGCCGTTCACATCAGTAGGATGTCCCAAGGTGCTGGACAGTCAGTGTTTCGGACCTGAGCTGGGGGTCGGGATTGGGGAGGGTACTGGGGGAAGGAGGGTGATTAAAGCACGGTCGAATAGGAGGGTCTTGAGATGGGTATTAAAAATAACACCATTTTTAGCTTTCTCGTGTCTGTGTCACGCACACATCCCTCTAATCCCTATCGACTTCAAAGACTGCTGCAACAAAACCGACCTTCACAGTGTTAAATAAAAAGTGCTTTAATAAGTTAATGTGGTCCATCATGCATGAATCACTAAAATAGGTATTTGTTTTTACTTGTTTATAATGGGTAGTTTATTATGACAGTACAAACCTGCAACAAAACAAATCACTATTTTATATATGAAAAAAATACTCCTCAATTTGTGTTAAATCAAGAAACCAACGATTGTTTTCACATTCTGTCATTCACATACCTTATCGATTCCCTTTTTGATTTTTTACACACCTGGATCACATCTACCCCCACCACCCCCTCAAACAAATTACTGTTGATTCTAAACAACTTATAAATCTTTACAGAGTAAAATATGCTATGTTCAATGTTACGACCTGCATTTGTTGTATAACAGGACATGTTAGCATTCTGTGGAGTGTTGACTAACACAGCATCAAATGTATCCTGTGTTTTTTTTTCCAGGAGATAATCATGTACAATAACTGAAATCTCAAAATCACTGATATTCGCCAATATTTTGTTACGTTCACCAATCATGAACCAGTTTTTGGTAAAAATGAAAGGCTAAGTGGACAGCACTGAAACGGTAAAGCAAACGCTTTACAGTTGTGGAGTTAGTCCAGTTCCAAGAAAGCAATAGAGAACAAGTTAGCAATCATCAAATATCTTGCTTGCTAAGTCTATTGCATCTTTTCAGGGTGAATGCATAGTAAGAATATATAGATAAGATAATAATAATGATTGCTGTGATTGTAATATTTCAGAAGTACAAAATAACTGCTGTGTTTGTAACTTTAAAAACTAGTTTTTTTTGTGGAGTATGTACATTTTGAAATCCTGACAGATCAAGAAACACATGGAAATACAGAAGATCTTCTTTCTACTCTCTCCAATGGAGAAATTTTAGGTTCTAAAAATAATTTGGTGACTTTAAAAGAATTACATTTTCAAAGTTTAGTTGAAAGATTATGTACTGTAAAAGAACAATGACATTTGGTTCTGTTCAATACTTTGGAAAATAATTAACGCAATGATAAACATGGGTTTACCCAAATCTGTTTACGATTACTTCCAGAAATTTTAGAAAAAAAACATTCCTTATCTCTAGTAACATTTTTGATAGGTGTGGACTTTATTGTTTTCATATTGTGGCAGGTAGCCTTTCAGGTGTGATCATGTTAGGTTGCATTTTTTTTTAAACTTGCAAGTTATTTTTAAATATAAAATACTGAATTGTTATTGGCTTTTAACACTCTGAGATTACAATGGGACCATCAGAACATATTGAGCTCAAAGACAGGTATTGAAAAGCACAAAATTAATGCTTTAAATCAGCATAAGGTAAATCAGGATGATTGCAAACAAAACCTTAGTCCACTAAACTACTGAGGCAACTGCTTGGCAATAGAATATTGTTAATCCTCAATGATGGCCTCAAGTTTGATTCCTGAGCCAGGTATGTGCAGTACTCCAAAGCACTGAAAATGACAGACCAGCCACAGCCAGCCTGACAATCAGCAAACCTGGGTTAGGGTTAAGGCCCAGCCAAAGATTCTTCCTATTCAGCTTGTTAACCATGCAAGCCAAGCACAAATGAATAGAAGGATCCTAGATGGACATGCAGTCCTATGTCCAGCTGTGCTTTAGCTGGTTAAAGCGTGGAGTCCTGTAATAATAATACTTGCATTTGATACAGCGCTTTTCACGTCGGGAGGACATCCCAAAGCGCTTCACAGAATATACTGTAAAGTGAATTGACTGTATATTTGTGGGCGAACACGGCAGCCAATTGCGCACAGCAATATCCCACAAACAGTCGTAGATTGAAAATGACCAATTTATCATTGGTTTTGGTTTTGGAGGGATTATTATTAGGCTCTGTGTGGAGTAAGGAAACTTGCCCACGGTTTCGCTCTGCCTGGAATTGAACTCGGGTCTCTTGCTTGCAAAGCGAGTGCTCTAACCACTGAGCTACAGGACTTTGAGGGTTTTAGCGGCCTGCGGTGTGAGACAGTGGCAGAGCTGGGCGATATTGCAGAGGTATGGGAAGGTAGAGCAGATTATGGCAAGGATGTGGGGTAGAAAGGATAGTTGAGGATCAAGCAAGACGCCAAGATTCCAAACTGGCTTAGTGAGGTGGAGTGTGCAACCATGAATGGTGATGCTGTCACGTTTTATTTTAAAGCTATCGGTGATCAGTTCTATACAATTGTAAGGAATAGCTTCATGATTCTGACTTTTCTGCTTCCAACGATTGCTAGAAACTAATATAGTTTCTCTTATACTATTTTTGCCCACTACAGAACCCTGAGACCAAAATGATCTCATCCCTAATCTAGAAGTCCTTTAAAGGTCATTGACACCAGGTTCTTGCATTACACAAAATTAATGAGCATTTCGACTATCCATCAATGTTATGAGGACATCTTTATCTCTCATTGAGTTCTCTGTTGGTCACGGATACCTTACTAAATTTTACTAATTGGCACCAGCTGGGTCTCATACCTTTTAATAATTCAATACTGGTACTCTCTATATCTAAGTAATGCATATGCTTGTGGTAACACTTTACAAATGTGTACAAGATTACAAATTGCAGCTGACCCCGGGGGACCAACCTCTCCTCCCTTATCCACATTCCCACCCTCCCTGTCAATCCTCCCCCTTGTCTCGCACATTCCTTCACCAACAGCTGTCCCCTCCACATCAGTCTACAAAATGTCCAGCAAAACTCTCACCATCCAAGACCTCATTGTCGAGGAAAACATTGACATCCTTACTCTGGTCAGTAATTGGCATGGCCTTCTCTCTGTACCTTACTGTGGTTAACTGTTGCAGTGCCAACACATCTGACACCGTCCTTCGGATGGGATGTTAAACTGAAGTCGTTTTGCTTGTTTAGACACTTTAAAATCCTATTGTATTGAGTTTCCCCAGTGTCTTGATCAATAACCTCCAAAAATAAAATTCCAAAGCCATAATGCTAATCTGATTGTCTACAATTGAATTTATGCTGCAAATCTTGTAAGTCACAACAGCTCAGTTGTTAAAACATAAATTTCATTAAAACACTGAATATGATAAACAGTAAACAGCAACCTATCGGCAGCATTCGATACGGTCGACCACGCTATCCTACTCCACCGCTTGTCCTCCCACCTCAACCTTCAAGGCACTGTCCTTGAGTGGTTTAGGTCGTACCTTTCTCACCGTCTTCACTTTGTCTCGATGAATGGCTTCTCCTCCACCCCCCGTACTGTCTCATGTGGAGTCCCTCAGGGCTCTGTCCTCGGTCCCCTCCTCTTCACCCTCTACGTGCTCCCCCTTGGTGACATCATCCGCAGACATGGAGTTAACTTCCACATGTATGCGGATGACACCCAACTCTACCTTTCCTCCTCCACTCTCAACTCCACGACCACCGATGTCCTGACAGCTGCCTGTCCGACATTGAGTCCTGGACGAGAGACAACTTTCTTCAGCTCAACGTGTGAAAAACCGAGGCCCTCCTGATTGGCTCACGTCAGCGCCTCTGCACCTCAGGCGCTGACACCATCAGCATCCAAGGCTGCACTCTCCACCTCTCAAAGCCAGTCAGGAACCTCGGGGTTCTGTTCGACCCTGAGCTGTCCTTTCTCCCTCACATCCGCACCGCAACTGGCACCGCCTTCCATCACCTCCGGAACATCGCCAGACTACGGCACTACCTCACCCCTCACGCTGCTGAAACCCTGGTTCACGCCTTTGTCACCTCAAGGCTGGACTATGGGAACTCTCTCCTCGCCGGCCTTCCCGGCACCTCCCTCCACAAGCTGCAGGTCATTCAGAACTCTGCAGCTCGTGTACTGTCCCGCACCAGACTTCGGGACCACATCACTCCCACCCTCGCTCGCCTCCACTGGCTCCCCATCCCCCAGAGGATTGATTTCAAGATCCTCATCCTCACCTACAAGGCCATTCACGGCCTTGCTCCCTCCTACCTCTCCAACCTACTATCCCCCTACCTACCTGCCCGTACCCTCCATTCCTCTGGCTCTGGTCTGCTCCACGTCCCCCGCCCCAACCGCCCTACCATCGGTGGTCGGGCCTTCAGCCTCTCAGCCCCCAGGCTCTGGAACTCTATCCCCCAGTGCCTTCGCCGCCTCCTCCCTTTCCTCCTTCAAGGCCGGTCTCAAAATCTTCCTCTTTGACCGAGCCTTCAGCTCCCCTCTTGACTCTCTTCCCCCTCCTCGCTCCCTCCCTTCCCTCCCCTCACCCTGACCATTTCCCCCCTGCTCGGGTCATGACCCAACTGTGCAGCGCCTTGGGACGTCCTCCTGACGTGAAAGGCGCTTTATAAATGGAATCTTGTTGTTGTTGTTTATTTTCATCAAGCTGAATATATAGTTTGCACTGGATCTTAAAACTTCTAATACCAAGAACAATTGCCACTTCACTCGTGGTCAGACTTTTTCCACCCACAATAATATCCTTTGCATCTTATTTTCTCCATTCGGACTCATAACAGTTGGGTGACAAACATTTCTTTTTAATAAACTGCATTGCTCATGTACGTTCTCAGTGGGTTCAAACATTCAGAGTTTTTTTTAACCGTTCTCCAACTTTATGAGCAATGGTCCTTGCAAAATGACATGTACAAAAGTAATGCTTTCATTTTAGCCTATATAAACAAATACCATTTACCCTTTAGGAATTAAAAACTCATACCTAGTGAATTCTGGATAAGGCACGTGTGGAAATCAAAAGTATTGAAAGTTTGAAAAAACATTTAACAAAAATGTTAATTACATCACTAATTTTAATGGGGTATAAGCAAATACTGTACCGACATGAACCCTCAGCAAATGCCATGTTATAGCACCATCTTAGGTTACTTCTTGAGTTCCAGAAGAAAATCTGGAGTAGTACTTCTAATATTGAAAATATATAAATGGGAGATTCATTTTCAAAAAGAGGAGTCTTTCCACATTTTCAGGTATTGGCTTTGAGTGACTTAAACTGCAACTGGCAGTCGCAGTATTAAAAATTCTTTCAGGAGCTAGGATACATGGGGGACACCCAAGGAACTTAATTGCAACTAAGGTAAGCGCTGGCCAGATAGTCTTTTTCAACTTCCAGTAAAGGAGAGGATCACAACTTTGATCAAATGTCTTCTTCAAAATACTCCAATACCATTCTCTCTGGTAACTTTTGCAAATTAACTGGTTCTGCTGATGGCATTTTTACACAAGACAGCAATGACCACAAGTCATCCTGACACCCATCAAATGTCTTATTTGATGAAGATTTTGAAATACAGTTAGTAGTGTCTAAGCTCTTATCTCTTGAGATGCCATACAAGTTTTCAACTTCATGAATCAGATCTTGCTTATGTAGCTCAACTTCATCCTCTGTGAAGATGGATGTCTTGTAACGAGGATCCACCAAAGTTGAGAAGATATACTTTGGGTCATGCAAAATGGATGAAAAGTGGCAGACTACTGCCTCTTTCAGAGACTTCAACATGTTTTCAATTTCCACAGTCTCCTCAAATAAAACATCTATCTTGTGCAACAGAATTTGAACTAATGGGATTACTTGACTGAGTGTTGCAGTGCAGCTACTCATTTGCTTGTTGGCAAGTTCAAAAGGTTTCAATGCGTGAAAAACAGATTCCATTAACTGCCATTGATCACCTCTCCAAAATTATGCTCCAGAGACAAATCTTCGATAGCCCTTTTTTGTTCAATAAAACGTTCAAGCATATAGAATGAGGTGGTCCATTTGGTTGGAATGTCTTGGATGTGCAGATGTTGAGGTAAATTATATTCATTTTACAGCTCGTCTAACCGTTCTTTTGCCTCTGGTGAGCGACAGATCCGTTCAGACTTTCCGTGCAACACTCAGAAGATTCTGAACCATTCTCTGTGTCTTGATGGCTTCATTTACAATAATGTTAATGCTATGAACAAAGCAATGCACAACCACACGTCCACTCTCCCCAAGTGCATTCAGTACGTTTTGCTCATTATCAGTAACAGTGAAACCAATTTCAAGTCCTGAAGAAGTGATCCAAGTTGTCCACAATGACTCCAGGTGGTTTTGGATGTTTATGCCATTATTGTCACAATCAATCTGGGATACATTCAACAAGGCAGAACAATGATAATCTTTCTGACTTGGTGGACATATGGAAGAATCAAATGTTACCCAGTGGGCGGTTAGTGTAATGTATTCCCTGCTCTGATTGCTCATCCAAATGCCAGTTGTAAAATGAACTACTCCACCTTCTGCTTCTTTCAAATATAAAGCTATAGTTTCTTTCACATTCTCATACATTCTTGGCATAATGGTCCGAGAGAAGTAAGAAGGAGATGGTAACAAATATTGTGGCTGCAAGTATGATAGCAATCTATTAAATCCAACATCCTCTACAACAGAGAATGGCTGAAGATCTAGTGCTATCATTTCAGCAATTAGGCTTGTAATTTTTTTGGCACTTAGTGGCGATGTCCACTCACTGCTCTCCTCTGAGGCCTTCGTTCTAACTTAAGTTTTAAATGACATTTCTGAAATCAAGGACGATGCTGAAAATGTGAGTGCAGAAAACAATGAAACATCTGAGATGCCATCATTGCACACCAGCACATTATGACGCTGCTGCAGGTGCTGAATTAAATAGCTTGCGCTCAGTTGTGATGTCTTCTTTCCTATGCTTATTGCACAGTTGCAGTAGATGCACATGACTTTGGTTAGATCTGAAGAACACAAGGAAAAATGTTTCCATAATTTTGAAATATTTTTTCTGGTAACAGGTGTGGCAACTGGCTTGATGGTTGCCGCAGATGAAAGAAACGTAGCTGTGCTTTCTACTGATGGTAAAATACTATGTTTATTCGTTCTTGAGTTCCCTGAAGAGGACGGTGCAGGTGACAGAGAGTAGTTATGTGAGTGAGATGAGCCTGGGATAAGATTTTTCCTTTGATGAAGCAGAGGAGCATGATATCGATATAAATGTCTCATCAAACAGCTTGTACCAAGGTCATCCCTTTTTCTCCCTCTGCTTATCGCTCGATGACAGTGTATACACACAGCTTTGGTGCAATCTAATGGACATACAGTAAAATGATTCCATGCTTCTGAAGCTTGTCGTCTCGGTATTTTTGGAGAATTTGGTTTAATCTCCTGATGAAGAGGTAGACATTTCAAAGAAGAAAACAATGTTGGGCCTAAATGAGAAGTCGATGTACCTGCAGCAGTGCCAGTCATGTACAAGTACAGGTAGATGACACCGACGTAGATGCCGCATTAAACAACTTGTACCAAGATCAGACCATTTTTTGCCTCTGCTAAACGCTTGATTGCAATGTGCACAAATTGCTTTGGTGACATCTGCAGTCGACATCGTAAAATGATTCCAGACAGCTGACTTTCTTCTCGAACTGCCAGCAATAGATGGAAGAGAAATAACAACAGTATTAGCAATGTCAGTTTCAGCACGAAGAGTGCTCGTGAAGGTTGAAAATGAAGAATCACTTTGTTTTCCATCAACACTTATAAGATTATCTTCCTTCTGACCTACATCTGTACTGCTACTAGTGTCTGTTAAATGTTCCCAAACACTTTGACTCGTCATGATGTTTGTAATGGACTTTTTCACAGTAGAAATTGTTATCGATACTAATTTATAGCATTAAGCGGAAACTAAAGTTCTCTATCTTTAAAAGCATAGAGATAAATCTTGTCAACATAGCAGTAAAGAATAATTTGGGTTTAACATTCATTTGTTTCAAAATTGTTACCTGATTATTACAGTATAAAATTAATTGCAATGTTTATGCACTATAATGTATACTCCAAGTGTCAGGATCATATAATGAATGTTCTTAAAATGTATTCTGTTAAAATACATTGTGAGGTTGAATTCAGTTACATTGATAAAAGTTAGTGTTAACCAAGTTTTAAAAACTTTCCAATGATGCTATTTTTAAATTTAAAAACACACTGATGTAAATACATTATCTATAGTTGGCCATTTTTGAATAGATGTTCAACAAAATACCATCGTCTTGAAACTTAAAATTTGAACTGCACTTATATAATGGTATAACTGGACAATAATGACTAATAGAATAATACTTTTATCGGTTCATCAAATATGAGGGAAAAAGCATATTGATTAAATGTATGCTCTAACGGAATAATGGAAAGACTGATCTCAGAAGAGACCAAATCTGTATAATCAACTCTCAATTTCAAACAGAAATAGATTCACAGCAAGGCAATTCTTCCATTAGGATCTGAAATATATGAAGATTTTCAGAACACAACATCAAAACAGTCAGACTTTTGAAGCACTGGACCTCTTCCTGATGTGAAAGGTGCTATATAAATATAATTTGTTGTTGTTTTTGATCAGTGCAGCACCTAAGAAATAAAGAAAAAATGTCCAATTAAAAAAGTACAAATTAATTATTTCATGTTACAATTATTACAATAGACTTGTTTATGCTTTTAAATATGACTTACAATTATACAAGGACTTTCATGATAAACATCTCAAAATGCTTGACTGAACTGGAAGGAAAGGGAGGGGGAGAGAATTTAAAGGTGTTGACCAAAGGCATCGTCACCGATATACATCTTTAAAACAGGTCACTTATAAGGGAACGGAGGTCCAGAGGTTTAGGAGCACAGGAAGTCATCTGCATAACACTGATATCTCCCCAGAGTTCCTTGTACTCCACATATTAATAAAGCTGCTAAAGATCAATTTGTTAGAAGTCTATGGAAACAAACTGAAATTCTGATTGCAATTAAATTTAGGTTATGAATGGGGAGGGTTGGGGGGGATTGTAATTACAAAAGAAAGATTTCTCAGAGACTAGCTTTTATAAACATCACAATATGGTATTGCGTATGAATTAAATAATAATAATAATAATAATCCTTGCATTTGATATAGCGCTTTTCACGTCGGGAGGACGTCCCAAAGCGCTTCACAGAATAGACTGTAAAGTGAATTGACTGTATATTTGTGGGCGAACGCGGCAGCCAATTGCGCACAGCAATGTCCCACAAACAGTCGTAGATTGAATGGTGAAAACTTACTTTATAAGACTTCAAACAATTGATGCGCATTAATGAAACATCTTAAAACATCTACACACTTGTATTACTGTTTAAACCATCCAGTCATTAAAAAAATTATATGTATTCAAACACATACAAATATGTGTTCGAATTCCCCCCCATCACCACACACACACACACACACACACACAATAAATTTAGCATTCGGGCATTCCAGATTCTGACTCGCATCTTCAAACCGGGGCGGTTAATTTTCATTTCGTTAGCGTTTCAATCACGTTACTGGAACCCATCAATTCTCTCGACCCAAATCAATGGGGTCATTTGCAAAGACCAGACGCGACGCGTCTGCGGCTTAAACTGAACATCAAAAGCACTTCCGCAAAGCACTTGTGTTAAGCAATCCAGGAGGCTGACACGTCCAACCCTTCAACCCTTCAACAAACACCTTTGCAAAACGGGTTCGGTTTTGGACAATCTGTTCCTCCGTCACTTCCCCCGAACAAAGAAACGGTGGATCGCTTCTGACCGCGGGGTCACTGATGGCACAATTGCTACGAATACGACAACAACAACAACAACAACAGGATTGCATTTATAGAGCGCCTTTCACAAATACAATTAATAAAATAGCTAATGTGTGGAGGGGGGGGGGAGGGGGGAGAAACATCCCAGTGTCAACACGAGGGGAAGGTGAGCGTATCATATACCATGTGGGGAAATAAACCATCGTTAAAGGCTGACCACTGGTACCTCTATTTTCTGTGAGGCGTTTGTAAGCATTCACAAGCCGAGAGGACCCGCTGCGGCCCACACCCCTCACACCCCTCTGCTCTGGAGATATTCCCCTCACAATTCCCGGGAAAACCCGAGACAGTGAACCTAAAGGCCACACAAATCGGGCACCAAAAAGGCTGGAAGCGGACAGTCTGTCAGAGCGCCGCCCTCCCCCCCCCCCTCAGGGCTGCTCACAATACCGCGGAACTGCCCCCCCCGCCCCGCGCCGGAAAAATAAAAGACCTCCAACGTGAAACTCACTGAGTCACCGCCGGCCCCGCAGCCAACCAACCAACCGCCCAACCCGCCCAACCGCCAACCAACCAACCCGCCCAACCGCCAACCAACCAACCAACCAACCCGCCCATCCGCCAACCAACCCGCCCGGCGGCCCAACCGCCAACCAACCAACCGCCCAACCGCCAACCAACCAACCCGCCCAACCGCCAACCAGCCAACCCGCCCATCCGCCAACCAACCCGCCGGCGGCCCAACCGCCAACCAACCAACCGCCCAACCCGCCCAACCGCCAACCAACCAGCCCGCCCGCCCAACCGCGCGCCCACCCGCCAACCAACCAACCAACCCGCCACACAACCCGCCAACCAACCAACCCGCCCACCCGCCCACCAACCAACCAACCCGCCCTCCCACCCGCCAACCAACCAACCCACCCACCCGCCCAACAACCAACCAACCCGCCCACCCGCCCAACAACCAACCAACCCGCCCGCCCCGCAGCCAACCAACAAGGCCCGCTAGCGGCCTCTGTGGTGACGTCACGTCACGGGCGGGAGAAGCGGGAGGTCAGAGAGCTCAGTCAGTGATGGCGGCGCGCAGTCTGCACTCGGCTTCAACTCTCCTTCCCACCGGGAAACCCTAACCCGCTCGCTCGGCCCTTCCGCTGCTCCCGGGCTTCTCTTCAGAGCCTCGAGCAGCCTGAACGGGGGGGAGAAACACTTCAATAAACTTTGAAGGCGAGAAGGGTCTTGTGTTTCTGTTTGAGGAGGAGGGGGGGAATGGGGGTGTAAACACGTTGTGTTTATATAGATTCATTATCACAGGATCCTCTCGTGAGAGTAGGGGTCAGCACTGACTGGGGGGGGGAGGGGGGCGGTAAGAGGAGGAAGGGTGGGAATTGATGTTGATCCTCCATTCCTCCCCCTCTCTCTGATTACACAGACCGACGGGGTTTCCCCGAGTCTCGGGGTCAAGCGCAAGGGTGAAGAGTGGCTGTGATTGGCGGCGAGAGGGCGGGGTGGGGGGGGGGAGGAGGTGATCGGGGTTTACCAGAAACTAACATACTATATATTTGTAGCCCAAAGGCAACCACTTACTATAGCCCCTCCCACAGAGAATAGCCCACTATTGTGCGTGTGTCGGTTAGGGCTTTTGAAACTCTGTAAGAAAATGTTTTCAGAGTGAGTGAGTGTTTGTGTGTGTGGAGGGGGAGAGACAGGTTTTGAAATTTTAGGAACAATTTGACAGAAGGAAAAGAAGAGAACAATTATACAAATTGGGCACCCGCCCAATTGGGCGTGAACTTGCGCAATCTGCTCACCACAGTTGTGTTTGTGAGTGGAGGAGAGGTGGTTAAGTGTGTGTGAGGGGGGGGAGGTGCTTGTGTGTGTGTGTGAGGGAGGTGTTTGTGTGGGGGAGTGTGGTGGTTGTATGTAGGGGTGGGTGTATGTGGTGAGGTGTATGTGTGTGAGGGGGAGGTGGTTGTGTGTAGGGGAGTGTGGTGGGTGTATGTGTGTGAGGGGAGGTGGTTGTGTGTATGTGGTGGGGTGTATGTGTGAGGGGAGGTGGTTGTGTGTATGTGGTGGGGTGTATGTGTGTGAGGGGGAGGTGGTTGTGTGTAGGGGGAGGTGTGTGTGTAGGGGTGGGTGTATGTAGTGGGGTGGGTGTGTGTGTAGGGGTGGGTGTATGTAGTGGGGTGGGTGTGTGTGTAGGGGTGGGTGTATGTGGTGGGGTGGGTGTGTGTGTAGGGGTGGGTGTATGTGGTGGGGTGGGTGTGTGTGTAGGGGTGGGTGTATGTGTAGGGGTGGGTGTATGTAGTGGGGTGTGTGTGTGTGTAGGGGTGGGTGTATGTAGTGGGGTGTGTGTGTGTGTAGGGGTGGGTGTATGTAGTGGGGTGTGTGTGTGTGTAGGGGTGGGTGTATGTAGTGGGGTGTGTGTAGGGGTGGGTGTATGTATGGGTGGGGGGAGGGGGAAGGTGGTTGAAGCCGATTGGTCGACGCCGAGGCGAGCGTTGAAGTGCGTGACGTCGCGCGCCTCCGACGTCGGCCTTGCGTAACCCAAACGGTGCATTGCATTGTTGTCGAAGAAGAAGCGTCTCAGAAGGGAGAGCGTTTAACACACAACACACAGAGAGAGAGAGAGAGACACAGAAGACAGTGGCAATACAGACGGGTCGGGCCGGCGAGTCGGCGTGAGTCAGTCAGTCAGCTCGCGCGCGGGGTGGGGACGGGCGGCCCCGCGCCGCTGACAGTTGGCCGTGGAACACGAGCGGGTGGGGGGGGCGCGCTCTCTCTCTCTCTCTCCGCTCTCAGCGGTTATTGTTTTTCCGTTTCGTTGTGTCTGTGTTTTATTTAAACCCCGACAGCGGGAGGGAAGCGAGAGAGAGAGAGAGAGAGTGGGGGTTAAAAACACGCGCGGTACTCATTAGAATCAACGTCCGTTTGAAGAATGTTGGGTGATTTTGTTGGGTGAAGTCCAGTGGGCCCGGAGCAACCCTCGAAATCTCCTCGTTTTCCAGACCAGGGCCGAGAGTGAGAGACACACAGAGAGAGAGGGGTGTGTGTGTGGGGGAGAGAGAACCACTTGAACGGGTGAGTCTGGGCCTCTTTCCACCCGCTTCCCAACACACACACACACACGCGCGCGCGCATACACACACACAACACACACACACACAACACAAGTAAGTGAAAGCCGCGGGAGCTGCTGCGTGTGATGGCCGCTGAGGGCGCGTTGTTTTCCCTGGTCGGTCGGCCGTTGTTGCGGTGGTGGAGTGTGTGTGTGTGTGTGTGTGTGGAGGGGGCGGCGGCGGGGGTGGGGAGAAGAAGGAGGAAGAAGCCCTTCGAGTGCCTTTGCTCCTTGTTTTGTTAGGCGCCATGTTTTGTTTCCGCTTATTATTGTCCAGGAGGGGAGGGAGAGGGAGAGGGGAATGTGGCCGTGTTGGTGTTGTCGGTGACCTGAGGGAGGGAGGGAGGGAGGGGGGTCCCCGAAAACGGGGACTGGAGTTTAGGTGTGTTGCCGTCGCGATTGTTTTCTTGCTGGGGAGGGCATGGGCGGGGGGTTTGGGTGGGAGAGAGTAACACTCGTGTCCTGGTGTTTTATTTTAATGCCGGGTCGTCTTGAGGGCCCGGGTTCGCCGCCGCCGCTCATTCAAACAGGCCCGGGAAAGCGTCGGGTGCGGTGACGTCGGCAGCCCTGCCCTCCCCTTCCCTCAGTCGGGAGTCGGTGACTTCCGGGTCTTGGTGCAGTGTCCCCCCCCCCCCCCCTAAGTTGGTGTGTGTGTGTGTGTGTGAGGGGGGGTGGTGGGGGAGTAGAACAGGAAGAGATCACTGCTGTCACCCGGGTGGGCTGCTCCGCGCTTCCCATATCGTTATGTTGCCAAAACAAATTGATCACTTGTTTACTTCGCGTAACCTGACAGGCTCCTGTGATGCTCGAAGCTACACTGTTGCAGTGGGCTTCCTCTCCCCCCCCCCCCCCCCCCCACCCCATCCTTTCCTTCCCAGTGCAGAGATATCTCGACGATTTTCGTTGCCGACTAATCAGACCTTTGTTCTTCTATGCAATGTTTATTTAAGGAAAAAACATTGACTGTTGGGTTCTCACAATATGCCCATTATTTTCAAATTTGAATAATTCAAGTTCATGAAGAGTCTCAACTGAGCATCCAGTGTGACTTTCTCTAACTTGAAACACTTTTTTTTCACAATGTACGGACTATTTTTCACTTGGGCAGATTTAGTTTGACATTGATGCGCAGCAAAGTTTGGCAAATTGTTTATTGCATCCTCACAACTAACATTCTGGTTAGACCAGGTTTTTTAAAAATTGCTTTGTTACTTTAATTAACAGATGTCTACGTGTATTGTTGGAATCTTATTAAATTCTCACTGTGCTATTTTGTAAAGAATACATTGTTTCACATTCATTTGGCATGACAAAACATTTTATTCACATGGCTTCATCAGTGCTACAAGTGCTCATGTTGTATATTCAAATGTGCTTTTAGTGTAGAGGGATCTGCTTTATCAACATTTAATTTTCAATAATACACTGTTGCAAGGGAAACTCGGTTTAAGGAAAAACATATGTACAATACAAAGTTACATTTGCATAGCGCCTTACACATCGGGATTACGTCCCAAGGCACTGAATAGAAATGCGCACGCAGTGCTGTTGAAATGTGGATCTGGAGATCGTTTTTTGATCCTGCACTTAAATCTGGTTGGGCAGTAAATTACAATTATACCAATTTGTCATTTGAGCTGTGGTCCTTGGTCAGTTGTACTGATGTTTACTATGTATTTGGTTCTGGCATTAATCGTTACCAGTAGTACCGCAGTTTAACATTGTGTGTATTCCCTCATTTTTCTTGCAATCAGTATTAGATGTAAAGTTAAGTTCTGTAAAAAAATGTGCTAACTAAAGCACTAGTGTATTACAGTGTTCTTGAAAAATTATCAATTTAATTTATTGATCTAGAAGCATTTTCAACATGTGGAGATACCTGGAACTGCAATTTAAAGGGTACTGTTGCTATGGAAATTTAAATTGTAGCTCTTGACATTTTACTTGTTAATTTTAAATCATGCTCCTTGAGCTATGTTTAGAATACCATTTCATTAAAATAAAAATAGTAGTTTTTGTGAACTTGTCACTTTATAGACAAGTTTAAATGGTACACAGGACCACTTAGTAACCTTCTCAGCATCTTCTAATTAGCCAGAAACTTCAGGTTAATCCCTGTTGACTTGGGACAAGATACCTCTAAGGTGTTCATTATAACTTGCAATGGGAGTTGCCTTAAATATACAGCGGTATTAAATTGCATTGTGTTGCGCTTTAAAATTGTACTAAATATAGATAGATAGTTTAAAATGTTATATAATTGTTAGCTTTCAGACGCAGTGGTTGTATGAATACATGAAACACAGTGTCATTGAAACAACCTGGAATTGTAAAGATTCTGCAAGGGTAATGAGCATACCTGCGCATATTCTAATACACATGATGGTCCAGGAGGATGTCTTCCAAGTGCTTCACAGGATTTACTGTAAAGTTCAGTGACTGTTTTATGAGTAGTATGAGACCTTTAGGCGACCTCAACACACAAACCTTGATTTTAAAGTCTCATCGAAAGGACAGTGCTTTCAGGAATGTATCCCTGTCCCAGGATTGTCCTGGAGAGTCAGCTGGACTTTACAAGTTAAAAATCCAGACATTCTAATGGCAGCCAAATATTATTGAAATCCTAGAATTGCTGCAATTTTGCAGTTCATGTAGAAAGAGGACATGACATGTTGTTAGTGATGTTCAGCTTGCAGCACTCTTGCCTTTCGGTGAGAAGTATGGTGGTTCAAGCCTTGTATTTAGATTTGATCATATGCAGTGACAACCCCGATATGGTCACTAATAGGGACATGCTCCATTGTGGAGATTAAACCTTTGTGGATATATAAGACTCAGCTTGTGTGTCTTTGTTTGATATCCTACATTAACTTGGATCAGTTCTTCACCTCACATTGCTCAGGAAATATCATTTATCGTTGCTTATTGCGCAGAAGCCTGCAAAAAAGCATGTTTTGATGGCATCGCGGCCTGACTTTACTCCTCTATCTCAGCCATGATAGAGAGCAGGTGTGTAGATGGTCATATTCTTCAGTAATCTAGTCTGATACTTTAATGCCTTACTGTAGAAACACTATTGTCGGATGAGACATTAAATTGAGTTCCCATCTACTATTTGATATGGATGTTAGATCCCATGGCACAATTCAAAACGAAAAAGAACTTCTCTTAATATTTTTACGAATAATCTACTGATTCCTGTAACTCAGTGGTAAGAGCACTTGGGCAAGTGAGAGACCTGGGTTCGATTCCCAGTAGGGAAAAACTTTGGGCAAGTTTCCTTACTCCACACGTTTGATAATAATCCCTCAAGAAACAAAACAATAATAAATTGGTCAGTTCAATCCACGACTGTTTGTGGGACACTGCTGTGCGCAATTGGCTGCTGCTTTTCACCCACAAATGTACAGTCAATTCACTTTACAGTATATTCTGTGAAGTGCTTTGAGACATCCAGAAGACATGAAAAGCGCTATGATCAAATGCAAGGATTATTATTCAAATGGACAATTACCTTCAGGCTGTTTGTAGCACTGGGTGCATATGGATGTTGTGCGAGGGCTTGGCTGTGATGCCCTCCTTTATCAAAGCCTGGATGTGCACGTCCAGGCTCAAAGGGGAAAAATGACTAAATGACTGGAAAGCTGAAGGTGTAATGTGGATCCGATCCAGAGCAGCAGATATCTTGACTGAGAGAGCGGAGAAAATGAGGGTGGGGGAGAGGGGAGTACATGTTTTAAATGGTTAACATTATGTGGTTGAAATCTTTACAAGGGTTTTTGTAATTTAATACTTTTTGAAAACTATTTTTTGACTTAATAAACTTTATTTTTTTTGCAGCATATTCCGTTTAACAATGAGAAGGAAAGGGAGGTACATTCGAGTGGCAGCAAGGCATCCAACTTCACCATGCAAGCTGAAGCACTCACCAAGCAGAGAGATGCTGACCTATGCTCAAGCACAACGAATGGTTGAAATGGAGATTGACGGCCGACTACACAGGATCAGTATTTATGACCCTTTAGAAATAATTTCGGAAGATGATTTGACTGCCCAAGAAATTGTTGAATGCAACAGCAACAAGGAAAACAGTGAACGCCCCCCAGTTTTCATAAAGTCTAAAAGGATCAAAAATAAAGTGAAAAAGAAGGAAGCCACTGTTCAAAATACACATGGAGCTCCAGTGCAAATGGCAAACACATTGCCAGAACCTAGGTTTCGAATAGTAGATTATCATCCTCCTTCTGCTCCTCGTCGACCCTCATCTTATTACAGGCTCATTGAGAAATCACCAGAGGAACTTAATAATGAAGTGGAATATGATATGGACGAAGAAGATTATGCATGGTTGGAAATGATTAACGAAAAGCGTAAAAGTGATGGCTTTAGTGCAATTTCACAGAATGTGTTTGAGTTCCTCATGGATAAATTAGAGAAGGAATCGTACTTTGAAAACTATAATCAAGGAGATCCCCAGTCTTTAATTGACGAAGATGCTGTTTGTTGTATATGCATGGATGGAGAATGTCAAAATAGCAATGTAATCTTGTTTTGTGACATGTGTAACTTAGCAGTGCATCAAGAATGTTATGGGGTTCCTTATATACCTGAAGGACAATGGTTGTGCCGACGTTGTTTGCAGTCTCCTTCTCGATCTGTTGATTGTATTTTGTGCCCTAATAAGGGTGGTGCTTTCAAGAAGACAGATGATGGTCAGTGGGGACATGTTGTGTGTGCACTGTGGGTGCCTGAAGTAGGGTTTGCAAACACTGTATTCATAGAGCCCATCGATGGTGTTAAGAACATTCCAGCGGCTAGGTGGAAATTGACGTGCTACCTGTGCAAGCAAAAAGGGTTTGGTGCTTGCATCCAATGCCACAAGGCAAATTGTTATACAGCATTCCATGTAACTTGTGCGCAGCAGGCTGGTTTGTACATGAAAATGGAGCCCATTAAAGAAACTGCACCCAATGGAGCAATAACATTCAATGTGAAAAAAACTGCTTTCTGTGCTGCACACTCTCCCCCTGGATGTGTGAGAAGACCACTAAACATTTATGAGGCAGTTGAAGTGAAAAATGGCATATGTAGAAAAGACTCGCATAACAAGGCATCTAAAACGAAGTGCAAGTCCAGGCAGAAGGCAAAGAAGACTAGGAAACTCTTAGCTGAAAAATGTACTGCTGTACCTGTAGTATCTGTCCCATGTATTCAGCCTGATAGGTGAGTGTCTTCAGAAACCTGATGAATAATTGCATGTGCTTCATTTGGAAATTTTAAAAGTAAATGTTATTACAGATTCCTCAAAATACATAACTTGCTTCATGTTCCCCTCCTATCTGCCTCATCATCAGTCAGTGGGCTTCAGCCTTTATGCCCCACTGTCTGGAACTCCATTTGGAGTCTTTCTGACTTGCTTCTTCCTTTCTGTGTTTAAGATCTGTCTCAAGACCTACCTCTTTGATCATCTTTCATCACCTACCCCAGCTCAAGTCCCAGACAGCAATGGGTGCTTTGAGACAACCTTCCAACCTGAAATGTGTTATATAAATGTTTTACAATGCAAATTTACAAAGATACCGAGGTCTTTCTTTCCACTTACAAAGAAGCTGGGACTTTGTCCTACATTGATGGTTAACTGTGGTCGGGTTGATGAATTCAATATGGAAATGATATGGCGAAGTAATTTCAGTTAAAAAATAATACAAATTTACATTTATATAGAGCCTTTCAGGTTGGGAATTTACTTCAGTTGAAAAACTATACCTTTTTTTTCTCAGGCTGCCGAAACCCTCAGCCATGCATTCGTCACATCAAGGCTTGATTATGGAAACTCCTTCCTCATCGGCCTTCCCAACTCTTCCCTTCACAAGCTATAGATCATCCAAAACTCTGCAGCTCATGTACTCTTGTGCACCAGTCTCCGTGACCCCATCACTCCCACCCTCGCCCGTCTCCACTGGCTCCCCATCCCTCAGAGGATCGAATTCAAGATCCTCATCCTCACTTTCAAGGCCATCCATGGCCTTGCCCCCTCTTACCTCTCTGACCTGCTGACTCCCTACCAACCTGCCCGCTCTCTCGGTTCAGTGGACTCCGGGCTGCTCCACGTCTCCTGCCCTACAATCAGTGGCTGGGCTTTCAGCCTCTCTGCCCCCATACTCTGGAACTCCATCCCATAGTCTCTTTGCCTTGCTTCCTCCCTTGCCTCCTTCAAGGCCGGTCTCAAGATCCTCTTTGATTGTGCCTTCAGTCACCCTCCCAACTCTCTGCCTTCTACCCCACCCCTCCCCCATGCTCGGGTCCTGACCCTGACTGTCCAGCGCCTTGGGACGTCCTCCCGACCTGAAGGACGTTCCATAAATGTAATTTTGTTGTTGTTCTCAAGTGTAGTAATCTTCAAGGTATTGGTGTTGCAAGAAATATTGCATAATTGTAACATGAGCTAAAAGGAGGATATAGAATACTACACAGAAGGAGGCCATTCGGACAATCGTGCCTGTTCTGGCTCTTTGGAAGAGCTACCCAATCAGTCCCACTCCTCCATTCTTTCCCTATATCCTTGTAAATTTTTCCTTTTCAAGTACTTATCCAATTCCCCTTTGAAAGTTGTTATTGATTCTGTTTCCATCAGGCAGTGCATTCCAGACTAGACTATAACAACTCTTTTTTTAAAAATATATATATATTATTCTCCCCTCTGGTTCTTTTGCTAATTATCTTAAATATATGTGCCCTGGTTATTGTCTGTCCCATCTGCCAGTGGACTAACCCCTCAACTGCCAGGATTTTACTAGAATATTGCCATTAGCTATATAAATGCAAATGACCGGACACCCTGTTCAGTATTCTGTATTGAATGCAATTTGGGAAAAATGCAAACTTTCTTTCCTCCAGAAGCATTACATATATGCCTGTGAGGTAACAATGTAATGGGTCTGTTTAGTTAACATGGATTCTTTAATGACCTTCAACTCTTTTGTATGGATTCAAAACAAAATAGTAGTTTAGAAATAAATCCATTCACAGTGTAGATAGTCATAAATTAATGTAAAAAAATAATAATTTGGCCACTCAATTCACGACTGTTTGTGGTACACTGCTGTGCGTGATTGGCTACTGTGTTTTGCCCACAGAATACAGTCAATTCACTTTACAGTATATTCTGTGAAGCGCTTTGAGACATCTTGCAGACGTGATGAGGCGCTATATCAAATGCTAGGATTACTATTATTACTAGGGCAGTTGTTGCTGGCACATGGTTTTGTTCTCATTCTTGCCCTTACTTTTTGTCGTCCTTTTTGGGGCAGTATTCATATGAATCCTCTTTCCCTGTCAACTACAATTTCGTATACTGTGAAGTAAAATATACATCATCCTATTGCTCATGGCTCAGTGGATCGTCAAGACTTCATTTATGGAGTTAGATTGCCCATGGTATTACCTATGTTCACACACAGTTTATTATTTTATACCTTCTATATTTCCTGTATGTTATAATGTGAAGCCTTATTGTTCATTTTTTTTTCTGACAGGAGTGTGCAATCTAGTAACTCACTATCCAGTTTGTCATGTATGATGAATGTCAGTTGGCCAAGTTACTGAAGAGCTGCAGGGTTTGGGTTAAGAACTGTATCCCAACCTGATGTACTTCTTTCAGGAAAGCAAGTGTTTTTTTTGTGGGGGATAGGTATCCTCCAGGGACATTATATCTTTGGGATCTATTAAGCTTTTAAGTTGTCCTCTTCAGATACTCCACACTATATTCCTTTGAATATTGGAGGATACAGAGTAAGTGGTTCAGAACAACTAATAAACACTTAACCAATTTCCAATATCTTTTACGTTTTACATACCAGTGTTGTTTGTATGAACAACAACAAAATTACATTTGTATAGGCCTTTCATGTTGGGAAAATGTCCCAAGGCAATGGAAAGATTAGGTTTGGTTTTCTAGTAAACATTCTGGTAGCTGAAAGTAGTTTAAAGGAGGGCAATGACAAAAAAAGACTCGTGTATTTTGAATTCATCATTCTCTCCTGAAGGTTTTTAGTTCCCTTTCCATTTTGTATAATTCCATGGATGTCTTCTGATACCTCATCCAAATCACCATTATTCAGGTGTGCGTGCTGAAATTAATGTTGGTTAGTTATTCAAATGCATATGTTTTCATCATGGGCAAGGTAAAATATATCCTGACCCAACCTTACATTTCTATGCATATTGTTCAGTAAGGATCTATGACTTAGGAGTGAAATTGTGGCTGATTTATACCCTTAACCTGGGATCAGTGAAGTCAATTGAGCATTCCAATTGATGTCCAGTTAAGGATTCAAAGTAATATTAATATATAGCGCTTTATCACACAGTTGATGAGTCAAAGCACTTCTCGGTGTATATATTGTAAAGTGGTTTGACTGTATTTGGGGAAGGAAACCCAATAGCCAGTTGCACACAGCGTTGTTCCTCAAACAGCCATGGAGAGAGTGACCAATTTTATTTGGGGGATTGTTGTCCAGGACACCAGGAGAAACTACATTCTCTTTTCAAGTAGTGCAATGGGATCTTTTACTATCTTTAACACTCACCTGCACAGGCAGATGGGACCTCGGTTTATCATCTCATTCGAAAGGCGGCACCTCCCACAATGCAGCACTGTATTGGAAATGTCAGCTTGGACTCTGATTCCAAGTCCTGATGTGGGACGTGAACCCACCTCCTTCTGACTCAGGCAAGAGTGCTGCCACTGAGCCAAGCTGATATGGACAAACAGGAAACTGTTTATTTGAATATTGAAATATTCGGCAGTGCCTTTATCCACCTTACCATGTGGGAACAGAGTATTCCAGTTTAAATAATAATATTGCTGTAATTAACTCTGAAAAACTGATCCACAATCGACTGACCGGGTTTCTACTTACTGCTTAAAAAAACTCGCTCAACGTTTTGCCCTGCTGGGAATCGAACCCAGGTTCCTCGCTTGTGAGGCGAGTGCTCTATCCAATGAGCTACAGGACTCCACCCATTGAAGCTTTTGATTGCATAATTAATAATAAACCTTGCATTTGAGAGAGAGCCTTTCATGTTGGAAGGACGACTCGAATCGCTTCGCAGGATATACCTTAATGTGTATTTTGTAGCTGAGCTGCACAAACGGCAAGTTATAGACCAAGAGGCAGTTTTTTGAGATGGTGAATTCCTACAGAATAAAGCTGTTCTCTGCTGATATTTGAATAAAGAAAATGTAAAAGAAGGTAGGTGTGTTATTAACCAACTGCATCATGAGTTCAGTGATTTGAGATAAAAATGAAGCTCTGATATCTATCCATATCTGAAACAACAACAAAATTACATTTGTATAGCGCCTTTCACGTTGGGCGCACGTCCCAAGGTGCTGGACAGTCAGTGTTTTGGATCATAGAAACTTACAGCACAGGCGAAGGCCATTTGGCCGATCATGTTTATGCTGCACTCTTAAGAGCAACCACCTGCCCTTTCCCCATATGTCTATAGTTTACTCGTTTGCATATATTTATTTCCCTTTTGAAAGCCAATATCCATTATTATATGCCTCAACCAGTTCACCGTGCAGGATATTCCATATCCCAACTATTCTGCGTGAAAAAAATCTCCAAGCATCTCCATTTACTCATTTTCTAACTCTCTTAAGATAATGTGCAATAGTCACTGACCAGTGAAAATGATTTCCCCCTCTGGACTTGTATCAGAATCGCCTAATCATTTTAAAGACCTCTGTCAGGTCATCTCTCAACTTTCTTTGTTCCAATGGAATAAGTCCCATTTCCTTTGGTCTCTGATTGTAGGCCAAATCACTCATCCTTTGTATCATCAGATTCTTTCTAGGTATTATGTCCCTATGTAGTATTTGGAAATTATTGTGTGATTTTTCAGGGCTGCTAAAACTTGTGTGAAACTTAGCAAAAGGGCCAGCAAAATGTATACAATGTACTCCAGAGAATTGATTTCAGGTTCACATTGTTCTTTTGAATGTTAAAAGGATGATTGTAGAGCAATTAAACATCAGTTTGAAAGGTTTTTGTCGAGGTTGTAAGCGTTCCTCCAGTGCCAGCTGATAAGTCTGAATCTGCTGCCAACCCAGCACTAACTGGAGTAGAACTTTCCTAAGTAGCTGCATGGTTAATGCTTTTCACTGACTCACATTTTGGTGAGTACTAATGCAATAACAAGTACAATTGAGACATCTGTCCAATTTCTATGGCAATATTCTAGCTATTTTGATATCCCTTGGATCATTTAGTCACACTTTACTGATTTTTCACAATTTCTGAATATTCTTGAATTTCACTTCTAAAAATAAACCAGAAATAAAAGATAAAATATTCCTTGCATTTGATATCACACCATTAATGATTGGGATGGCTTCACAGGATTCACTGTAAATTGTAGTGACTTTTGTAGGGGAATACAGCAGCCAAGTTTACCACAAACAGCCATAAAGTGAATGACTTATTTTATCTGGTGTATTGTTAGCTGGGAAATCAGGAGAAACTCCTGTTTTTGAGTTGTGCCATGGGATCTTTAGTGTCCACCTGAACAGACAGGTGGGACCCTAATTTGAAATCTCATGAAAAGAACAGCACCTCCAACAATGCAGTGTTCTCTCAGCATTGTATTGGGTTGTCAGCCTAGAATGAGATCAAAGTTCTGATGTAGGATGAATACACTACCATTTGAATCAGGCTGATGCCCAGATGTGATGGGTTTAAATAAATTTTATGATGTACTAATTAATTGAATTTCTTAAAGAATATATTCCATTAGTTCAGAAATAAAAGACATGACTATATAGTACTCTTTGCTACTGTAATTTGAAATAAATGCAGGTATCCTGGATGTGAAGTCCTGTAGCTCAGTGGTTAGAGCACTCACCTTGCACGCGAGACACCTGGGTTCAATTCTAGGCAGGGAGAAATCTTGGGCAAGTTTCCTTAATCCATACGCCTAATAATAATAATCCCTCCAAAACAATAGTAAATTGGTCATTTTCAATCCACAATTGTTTGTGGGATACTGCTGTGTGCAATTGGTTACTGCGTTTCGCCTACAAATATATGGTCAACTCATTTTACAGTCTATTCTGTGAAGCGCTTTGAGATGTCTAGAAGATGTGAAAAGCGCTGTATCAAATGCAAGGATTATATTATTGTCCGATTAAAATAAATTCTTACTATTTGCTGCAACATTGATGTGTTAGATAGTCATTACATCTGATAATCTAGGTACCGTAGCAAATTATCTATTTAGTTGCAGTACTGGAAAATAGTCATCGGTAGCCGTGCTTTCAGTCATTATACCCCCAAACTCTGGAACACTCTACCTCTCACTCTGCCTTACCTGCCCCCCCCCCACCCTTCCCATCTTCATGTCGCACCTCAGCATCATTCTCCACCACTATCAAGAGCTCTGGGATGCTACCCTGCTTGAGGGGCTTTATATAATAAATGCAAGTTATTATGTATTTTCTTACTTGTTGGGTGTTTTGGGGATATAGTGAATCATTTCAGAGACGTTTCCAGTTGCCATACATAGACCATCTTTGCTATATTGCTTCATTTCAATAACCATATCAAGTAGAACCCCATACTACTTGAAAAAAAAGGGAATTTCTTCCGATGTCCTATCTAACAATTGATCATTCACCTTTTCAAAAATTCTGCAATTTTGAGATGTTTCGATGGGATGAGATATTAAATTATTATTTTCTTCATGGGTATAGACATTTTGAAATTGCAGATATGTTGGAAGTTTTACTGAAGTTTTTTTTTGCAATAACCTTTTTCTCTCTTATCCTGTGTTCAGAATGTAAACAGAGAGATTAGAGAAATAGCAACATGTGTTTTTGCTTTCAAGATATTACCGGAACAAACCGAGATGAAATATTTTTTTGAGCCATACCTAATGTATAAAGCACTGTACTTCAAGTTTCTACCCCTTTCCACGACATGTTTGCATTCTCTATTAGATAGGCCTGTTCATACTCCATAAGGTAATTGTCTCCTCATTACTCTTCCCAAAAAATACCTAGCCTTTTCGATCACCTAATTCAAAACTGTGCATCCAGAGAAAATATGATACTAATAGGGGCACTAAAGAAGTGAACTTTATCAGTTGGTGTTAAATTTCCCTTTCAATATGTTGCAAATTAATTGAATGATTTTTGGAGATACAAGAAACTGTTTTAAAACATGTTTTCTCCCTTCACAGATTAAATGCAATCATCAGTCAAGTGTCAGTACCTCGGAAGAAACAGTTCATACAGAGGTTGCATGTTTATTGGACGTTAAAACGACAATCAAGAAATGGCGTGCCTCTGCTCAGACGTTTACAATCTCATTTGCAATCTCAAAGAAATGTACAACAGGTACTGATTATGTTTTCGTCCCCCCACTCATCCCCTTCCCCACACACCCTCCCCCCCTTTCCCCTCCCCCCTGCCCTTTCCCCTTCCCCCCCGACCCCTTCCCCCCCGCCCCTTCCCCCCGCCCCTTCCCCCCCCCTTCCCCCTCCCCTCCCCTTCCCCCTGCCCCCTCCCTTTTCCCCTTTTCCTCCCCCTTCCCCCATAAAGTGGCAATTTGGAGTAAATGCTGTTCCATCTGATGGGAACAGATTCAGAATCTTATATTTTTATGTTTTCTGTTTGAATCTGTCTCAATGTAACAGATTCAATTTGTCTTTAAATTGAAATGATTGTCATTGTGTACTAATACAGGGTGACCAAAAGTCATTACAATGGGTACCATTGGGTACCATTACAATGTCTTATAAGTCTTAAAAGAAATTATGATATTTTTGTTTTACATTCGTATGGGAGTGTAAGCCATAAAGTAGTGGGTTATAAGTTTGTTTTTTCTTCTAGTCTTTAGGGGCTTCTAGTCCATACATTGCTATAGGATGTGTTACACAAGTTGCTTCTTCATGGAGTTTTTTTTAACCAGGAATGTTTCTGGTTCAGTCTTTCATAATGCAACAAATTTATCACTGCAAGGCCCACATATCTATCTCATCCAGAAGCGATCGCTCCCATCACGTAGCAATTTTCAGCTGCTGTATGATATCTGAAATATAACGTGTAGTGCAAAATGAGGAAATCTACAGTTGCATGACCAGATGCTTCTTTATGAAAATAGATTTTAAACTTTTTTGATTTTTATGAAAACCATGAGTCAAAAGCTTCAATGGGTGAGTCCTGCAAAATTACTGCAAAATACAACCCTTTCAAGTGTTCCAGGCGAGTAAAACAAGCCCAGTCTTTTCTGTGGAAACCAGCTTACATGCCTACAAGTTATTGTATGTTGCATTTCTGGGTTGCTTAACTGGAGTGTATTGCAGTCTGTACTTATAAATTAATTTTCGCCAGTCAATCAGACGCAAAACTAGAAACTTTATAAGCAGATTTTGATTCTTAGATTACAAAATATTTTTGTGCTATGGTTTCTCAAGCCTCTGCTTCACCTTTACTATATTAATTTTCCGGGTACAAGTTGTAGTTCATATGATACAATATTAGATTAGTCAATGGATTAGTTTCTGGGGAGTTAGCTGATCATTCACAGCATCTTCATGTTGCATTCAAAAAGTATTATTTTTATTATTACCTCACTTTTCTACCAGCCTCCTTCATTCAGCAAGCTCTACCCTTTTGCCTGTCCCTCATCCCCTTCATTCCACCATCATTGGCTGTGCTTCCAAACATTACACCCAGAAACTCTGGAACTACCTATGCCTTGCCCATGCCCTGCCTGTCTCAGTCACACCTAAAAAACTTTCATCTTCAACCGTGCCTATGGTCACCTACTCTCTCTCCCCGTCTTGGTGTCAAGCTCGACCACTGTTAAGCGTTCTGAGACATTATCCTGCATGAAGAGCGCTATATAAATACATGTGTTATTTTCCTGGTTAATAAATCTACAGGATTTATTATGCACACAGAAAGTATTTTAATACACCTTGTTGTTTGTTAGGAGCTCCTTCTATTACACTATCATAGGAGATAAAGGTTAAATGGGAGCTGAATGTATGGTTCCAAGAGTGAAGTATAATATTGGAGCCTTACTATTTAGTGGTAAAGTAGAATACTGCAGTTAAATTGCGGTTTATTTTACAAGTCCTAATATCTCAGCATATCTGAAGACGGGTACTAATTCAGATCTCCTGCTTTGTATCCAATAACCTGGAATACTGGCAAAACATCCCTGTACAGAAATTCAATTAAAGAGGAATTAGTGCAGGAATTTATATTTTGGATCTGTGTTGTGTAACTACTATATAACTTTTGGAGATTACATTTTGGAATGTATTAAGAAAGTGGTCTCAATCACCACAGCTGTATATTTATGCGGAAAGAATTCCTTTTAGCAGCATCATCAGTTACCTCATACAATATAAAGCTGATGTGCTTCTCAATTTTTAACATTTCCCTTTGTCTTTTCTTCTTCCTATCCCCCATTTCTGATTGGCAAAGAGAGTGGATGATGAACAGAACAATGCCTTGAAAGAGCAGTTAAAATACTGGCAGAGGCTTCGTCATGATCTAGAAAGAGCGCGATTGTTGGTTGAACTTATTCGTAAACGTGAAAAGCTAAAACGTGAACAGGTAATATCCAGCATGTCTGACACTTGTCAAATTTATATAATCTTTCCACTTTCAAAAGTTGCGCTTTTAATACTATTGATTTTATAATAGTTTTACATGCATTTGTTTGAATACCTTTCATTGAAAATTTGTGTGGTTAAACATTGACAGGTTAAAGTTCACCAGGTTTCTATGGAGCTCCAGTTGACACCATTGACGGTTATGCTGCGATCAGTTTTGGAGCAGCTTCAAGAAAAGGATGCAGCACATATATTTGCTCAGCCAGTGAACTTAAAAGAGGTGAGTTTCCTTGTGGGAGTCTGGAAATCTGTCCTTTATTTTGACCATAATCACAAATGTAAGCATTTATAATAGTTTTTAATTTGATTTTTCTGATAGAAATTTAGAATTTATCCATACATGTTGAAAGGAATTATAAACAATGCACAGTTTCTATTTGTTGTTGAGGTATTTGGGGTATTTTTTTTCGTTTTTCAGAAACCACTTTTATATTATACCTTTTAAGATGTTTGTGTGATGTCACGTAAAAGAACATCTCAAACCACTTGACAGATGTGATGGACACCAAGCAGGGAACATCAACAAATTACATTTGTATAGCGTTTTTATGTCAGGAGGACATCCCAAGGGCCTGGACAGTCAAGGATTTGTACTTAAGTTGGGGGTTTGATCAGAAGGAGTGGAAGGCTGGGTGGGTCAAACCAATGATTTAAGGTTGTGTGGCCAAAGTAACGGAAAAGAAATTAGTGGTTTTGAAGGTAGTGAAAAAGGTAGCAATTTCCTTTTCTGTGAAACAAGTGTGTGTGCTGATGTGTCCAATTGAGTTACATTAGTCCAAGGGTCTGCTTTCTATAATATTTGAATAAACGTATCAAAAATTAATCATTTTGACGTAATGTGCTGAAAGTAAAATTGCTTTGGACTGCAAACAATTAACACCTAGCACAGTTAATGTAGAGTTCAATGAAGAACTAAATTACAGTGGAGCCCCTTAAAAGCAATAACTTGCACCTATATATGCATCTTATATCTCGATACCCATCATGCAGGGTAGAGTCTCAGAGTACTCAGACATATAACGTAGTGTTTGGGATCGATAAAATCCCACCCTGTGCTATAGTGAGATAGAGCTGGTTTGATTGTGCATGTATACAGCTGGACAACTTACGGCCATTTCCTGTCCTAGCAGAATAAATGGACGGCTGTTAGATCACCAACAATGTCACTTCTTGTTTGCTGGAAGTTGGCCATTTTAGCAAAAAGAGTCTGCATGGGACATTAGTGGGAGTTGTATGTATGTGCAATGGATGGGAGCTGTAGCGAGGTATGTTGTAACAGTTGCACAAAATTTGTAAAGAGATTCCTGAATGTTAAGAAATTTGAAAAGAGATTCCAAATTTGATTGGCTAAATGGTTCTTCTTGTTCCTACCTTTATAAACCTTCTATGTAAGCCAAAAATGTATACTTGAAAGGAACTCATCCATTGATTTATTCTGTTGGAACTTTTAAATTATATTTGGGGTCTCAACCTAAATTGATTTGACTATAATTGTAATTTTCAAAGCAACAATTTTTTATTTTCAATTTCACCTTCAAAATCAAGTATAACAAGTTGTGAATCATAATTTTGTTTAGAAATCATTGTACAAGAATAGGATTTGGTACTTGACAAATTCTTGTAAGTTTACAATTTACAAGATCATAAATGCTGCAATTATCTTTATTTCAATAGTTTGTCTCCTTATTAATTTTGACATATAAATTCAAAATTACAATTGTATAGTGCCTTTCACGTCGGGAGGACGTCCCAAGGTGCTGGACAGTCAGGGATTTGGACCCAAGCAGGTGGGGACTTGGGATCAGAGAGGGCAGGGAAGAGTGGAGGGTGGCCGAAGGCGCGGTCGAAGAGGAGGGTCTTGAGACATGCCTGAAGGAGGCAAGAGAGGAATCGTGAATCTAGACTTAATACATTGAGTTATTAACTAATTCAACATATTCTGTGTGTTCCAGTTAGTTGTGTGGTGGTTGTGCCGGGACTTCTATGAAATCTAGAAGGAAACAAAACTGCTAGGGTTCTTGAATTCTGATTATTCAAATGTGTTGTGGTTCTAACAAAGAAACAAATTGGCATAATGTTATTTTACCAAGGCTGTCCTTTTGATTGTGGATTCGCTCAGTGAAACAGAACTATTCATGTTTCTGCATTTGTACTTGATTTTCCCCACAGTATGTGATAGGAATAAATATACTAAGCTCACTGAATTTATATAAAACAGTGAAAATTACTAATTTTAAATGTTCAAACTAAAGTGATTAGTCTCTAGACAAAAGACATTTCTTAAAAGCCACCAATTCCAGACCTGCATTTAACTGTTTTGCATTCACTAAGATTTATAGTTCATGAAAGAAGTTTTAAGTTGCAGTATGATTTAATTAGGCAGCAAATGTTGTTCAGGAAGTTCTGAAAAAAAACTAATTATTAACTAAAAGTGTTTTTCTCATTCAGGTTCCAGACTACTTAGATCATATAAAACACCCTATGGATTTCTCCACAATGAGAAAAAGGCTAGAAGATCATGGTTATAAAAACCTAGATGAGTTTGAAATTGATGTTAATCTCATCATAGATAATTGTATGAAATACAATGCAAAAGACACAATATTTTACCGAGCTGCTGTGCGATTGAGGGATCAGGGAGGTGTTGTACTAAGACAGGCTCGTCGTGAAGTTGATAAGATCAGTTATGACTATGAAACTGGAATGCATCTGGTTGATCCACCAAAGAAAGAAGTGACTACACCATTTTCATGGGAAGAAGGTAACCATTCCGTTTCTCAATCCTTTAATAAGAGTCTGATCTACTGCTACATCACATCAATAAATGTACATGCATACAATGTCAAAATTTGCTAACCGGTTGGTGCAGTCAATAATGCTGTCAATATTAATTTGTTTGTATTCTCTTTATGCTTTCTTCATTTCAGCATCTTCTGGGTATTATGAAAGGCTAATGTAGACTTGCTTACCCATCGAAACAATATCTGGGATTGTTTACACTCAGTCTAGTCCTGCCAATTGTCACCAGCTGATCCATGCTGGTTCTTAGAAAGAAGTCAGCTTTGGTATTTGCCTCATTGCCCAAAGCTGTATCACACATAAGATGTTCTGCAAATGTTAATGTAATTTGCTGATGCGCTTTAACCAAGAATCTTTTACAAAAAAAGTGCCTTTGAAGGCAACAAATCCATCCAAGCAGTGGAAACCGCTGCCATTTTATAAATGCAGATCATGAGCCCTTTAGGTTTGACGACCAAAATAATGGTCAGACCCAGAAGGAAGCTGCATTTAAGCCTACTGCTAAATCTCAAACCCACCAAGGACTCTGGTGTTTATTTTGTAGCCCAGTAGATCACATCTGAATATTTCCATACTTTTTCATGAAATTTTGTGCTTAAGCACAATGGGAGTTGTCTGCCCTTTGAAGTTTTGGCAAACAAACCCGTGTTTTTGTCAAGAGTTTGGACAACCTTCCATCAGATCCTTAGTCACTTCTTGGTTCTCAACCTGGTAAAAGGTTTTCACTCTTCCGTTGTGGTCATCCTTTTAAATTTCAGGTTGCCTTCTGCCAACTGAATGCAAAATGGAATATGAAATGGAAAAATGTTTGTCTGGTGGTGGTGTTTTTAACGGTTTACTTAACTTTGCATACTGTCAACACTTCATCAGCCGACTGCTGTAACCTACTTATCTTTGGTTGGATGCAGCAAATTAAAATAAGTCAATAATATTAGTTTACTTATTCATCACACAAGGGCCAAAGCATATTACTCATAATTCGGCAATAATTGATCAGAAAATATAGTAATACAGCATTAAGTGTATCAAATGTGCTGTTAAAATTGTATTTTGTTTATTAAAGTAGCAAACAATGTATTTGCCTGTGTGTCACTTAAAAGAAAGACCAAGCAGAAAATTGATTCTGTGTTTTAAATAAGACTTTGTAGAAATTTTCTGGTGATTATTTTCATTATATTATCATAAGCACAGATGAGAAAATTGAGACTTTCTTAATAAAAAAGTAATTTAATTGATTCTTTATTTCATTTAGTGGATAGATTATTGCTGCCTGCAAATAGAGAGCATATGGCCTTGGAAGTACAGCTCAAGGAGTTACTAGACAAACTGGATATGACTTGTGCAGCAAAATCTTGTGGTGCCAGATCGAGACGTGCCAAATTATTGCGCAAAGAAATCAACAACATTCGCTTACGGTTAAGTCAGCAGAACGCTGAAACTGAGCATATACGGAATGAAAACGGTTCAGTTGAAGATGGGACAAAAGTAGAACAAGATGGTGAAGAATACAGTGAGTATCTTCATTTAGTTACATTTCAGAATTAGCATTTTATTAATCTTTTAATGCAGGGAGTTTGCCAAAGTGTCACTGTTGTTTGAAAGCTCAAGTGATTTGTAGCTGTTTTTCTGCACTGTATGTTTTTGATCTTGGCTGAACCATTGAGAGGACACTATCATGGAGACAATATCTGGGGTCAGTTCATTCTTTGCGCCTCCATGTTGTCCAAGTACCTAGAGTGGATGAAAGATCTATTTTCAAGTCTGGTCAATGTCAATTGGCAATTTAATGTTTTGAATTGCTACACTTTCTTGACGGGCTAACCAGCAGTTAACTATAAATCAAACCTATCTCTTTGACTGTGCCTATGGTCACCTCCTGTCTGCCATTCTGATTCGGTCCCACTCCCAATCAGAACGGCAGACAGGAGGTTTGAGATGTTGACCCACATGAAAGGTTTCACATATATATTATATATATATGTACACACACCACATCTATATTAATAAAACAACAATGTCTGTGTACGTACGTGTGTGTGTGTGTGTGAATCATCCAAGATCTCAATAAACGATTGACATAGAGACATGATTTATACCTAATTGGAAAGGTCTTGCATCTGGGAGTGTCATGGGCATTTTTGTTTTCGGAGATTTCCTATTGTTGATGAGCTATGACCTAAATAATCTCATCACACAGGTATGGCTGTTTTGCGTTTTGCGCTGTAGTTACACCTGGTGGCTGCACTGACTCACAGTGGCGCTGTGACATAGTTCGTCACAGAGCACATAAGTAAGCACACGTGCACGTACGTAGCATGCATGCAGTCAGACAAAGCCAAGAGTCGTGAACAAGATAAACAACAACAAAATTACATTTGTTAAGCGCCTTTCACATCGGGAGGACATCCCAGTGATTATAAATTATAAATTTATATTTATCATTATAAAGATGCCTAAATGAAGATCAAGCCTTTCAAGGATAAATAAAAATGCTAGACAAAAGAGAGAAGGCCGATTAAATGAAACTGAAGAACAAAGAACCACACGGCTGGACTTCAATGCTGAAATGACTGCAAGAACACCACAAAATGAGTTGCAGACTCAAAGAACAGCACAACCGGACTTAGATGCAGAAAGACATGCAAGAACACAGCAAAATGATGCCCAGCAGCAGAGGTCACTCCATTTGGCTGCGCTCAAGTATGATCCAGGCAGAGAATATGAATCAGATGGCGCTCAACATAGTGGGAATATGTCGATTGTATGTGCCCGTTGTGGAGCCATGAAATTGGCAAAAGAAGTTCCTTCCATGTGTTGCTCGCTTGGCAAGGTGAAACCAGAACAACTCGCAGAGCCACCTGAACCACTGAAAAGTCTGCTGGATGGCATATCAAGTGATTCTATGCATTTTCCAGGAAGCCCTAGGAAATACAATTCATGCTTCCAGATGACCTCTTGGCGTTACTAGAGAAATCAAAGACCCAGGCTATATGCCAACATTTAAAGTGGAAGGCCAAGTGTATCACTTATCGGGATCTCTAAACGCTTTGCCTAATGAGTTGCCAAAATTCTTACAGATCTATTTCATGATGAACCGAGAAGAACAAGCCATGTGGCATGGAACAATGTTCTGGGGTTGAAGGAAGTCCTCATACTAGATCTGCAAGACATGCTTCACAATAGTAACACATACATCAGGAGCTTCAAGTCCGCAATGGAAAGAATGACTGCAGAAGAATATAGAATAATCATCCATGCAGACAAGACACCTGTTGGCCAGCATGAGCAACAGTACAATGCACCAATTACTGACAAAGTAGCCATCCTGATTGTGGGTGAAGAACATGGTAAGCGTGACATTGTGTTACAGCAATGTGCCAACAAACTCAAACTAGTGTGTGAGACTAACAGGGCATGCGATGCCCTTCAGCACCGAATCTTATTCCCACGTGGTGAAGATGGCTACTATTTCCAGATATGGCAAACAAATCCCATCACTGGACAGTCAAGGCCTGACAAAAAGGTATGTGCTATGACTCTTTATGCTCACAGGTTGATGCAACGTGAAGGCGATTACAACATCCTTCTGTGTACAAAAGGCCTCTGCCATTAATTCATTGTAGACATGTATGCCAAGAGCGAAGCTAAGAGACTTCATTTTTTCCACTTGAACCAGGAGAATCTCAGGGCTGAGGAGTACATTCATTTGTAGGATGCACTTATGGTGACACCAGCAACGTAAGTCAACTGGTCATCTTGCCATCCAGTTTCACTGGGGGGCCACGGTTTATCCACAAAAGAATCCAGGATGCATTGTGCTACGTGCAAGCGTACAATCGACCTGCCCTGTTTGTCACATTCACCTGCAACCGTAATTGGGAGGAGATCAAGCAGAAACTGTTGCCTGACAGAAGCCACAGGGCTGCCATGATCTCATAGCCAGGGTTTTCCACCTCAAAGTTCTTAAACTGATGGAACTTATTACCAAAAATCATGTTTTTGGCAAAGTCCATTGTTAACTCTACACCATTGAGTGGCAAAAGCGTGGTCTTCCCCATGCACACATTCTTCTGTGGCTCATCGAGAAAATACGGCCTAACCAAATCGACAATATCATCTCTGCAGAACTGCCAAACACAGACCGAGACCCTGTGCTCTTTGAGATTATAAAGAAACACATGATTCTTTGCCCATGTGGACAATTCAACAGAAAATCTCCCTTCATGAAAGATGGGTCCTGCTTAAAGCAATATCCAAGGAGCTTTGTATAGAAGACCCACACTGGTCATGTTGAGTATCCTTTGTACAAGCGGAGGTCAACTGGAGGTGGTGGATTCCACACAGTATTGACAAACAACAAACAAGGTGGAAGAGGACAACTGTTGGGTTGCCCCATCCCTATCTCTCTCGCTCTTCAATGCTCACATTAATGTCGAGTTTTGCAACTGTACGTGTGCAAATATGTGAACAAGGGAAGCAACATGGCTGTGTTTGGATTCGAGAGGGAGGAAGCCCGAAGAGACAAGGTAACATACTTCCAGATGGGCCGATATGTGAACACCAATGAAGCAATCTGGAAAACTTTGGGCTTCCACATACATCATCGAATCCAGTGGTCCAAAACCTTCAGGTTCACCTTGAAAACAGCCAAAGGGTGTTTTTTACAGAAACAAATGTTTAGAAAAGTTGACTTGAACCTCTCAAAACCACGCTGACTCCATTCTTCAAACTGTGCCAACAGGACAAGTTTGCAAGAATACTTCTCTACTGTGAGGTCCCAAAGTATTTCACAAGGAACTCCCTGACCAAGAAATGGAAGCGAAGAGTTCGAGAGATCCCTGTTGAAGGCTATACCTGTGTCAAGTCCAGTGACGCGCGCGGCAGGGTGAACATAGTGCATCCAAACAACTTTGAGTGCTACTTCCGAAGGCTTTTGTTGCACACCAAGAGGACCAACAAGCTATAAGGATCTTAAAACCGTTGATGACGAAGTCTGCGATACTTTCCGAGAGGCATACCTCCGCAGGGATCTCCTAGAAGACGATGCCCATTGGAACCAGATATTAGAAGAAGCAGCCACAGCATGGTCTACTATCAGACTGAGGGTTTGTTTGCCATTATGATGCACACCTGTGGTTTGTCTAATCCAAATCAGCTGTGGAATAACCACAAAGAAAGCATGTCAGAAAACATTTTCCATCAGATACACAGTGCGTCCACAAACTGAGTTGGACTACAGTGATACCATCTTCAATCAGGCCCTCATACACTTAAAAGACAAGCTAATGGCATTGGGGGAGGTGGGGGAGGGGAAGGCATTGCCACACTATGGTCTGCCCTGTACTCACAGAACAGAAGATGACACCTTGGCCAGAGAAATTTTGTGGGAAATCAACTATAACCAAGATAAAATGCAGCACACGTCCAGGAGAGAGAATCGATCATGAAAAAAGATTAAGTTGCAGCGTATCAGAGTATTCTTCACAAAGTTGACCATGATGAAGACATTATCTTTCTTTATCCACATGGTGGTACAGAAAAACATACCTCATCAATCTCATCTTGACCAAGATTCAGTCCAGGGCCAAATTGCAGTTGCTGTTGCGTCCTCTTGTATTGCAGCAACTCTTCTTATGGGTGGCAGAACAGCCCATTCTGCCTTCAAGCTGCCACTGAACCTTTCTCATACAGAGGATCCAGTGTGCAATATCACGGAGGGTACAGCTGCAACCACATTGATCAAGGACTGTAAAACCACTGTGTGGGATGAATGCACCATGTCACACAAGCAGGCCTTAAGGCTCTAGACAGGACGCTTCAGGGAATCAGGGAAAACACCCAGATGATGGGAGGGAGGGATGACGTCTGCCAGACAGTACCTGTCATACAACATGATACCCGTGCTGATGAACTCGATGCCAGTCTTAAAGCTTCTAGGCTGTGGGCATGTGTGGAGAAGATGAACCTCAGGACAAACCTGCAAGTTCATGGCGGTTTATGGCAGTTCCACAGCTGAGGCATATGCTGACCTCCTTCTGGAAATTGGGGATGGCAAAATTCCAGTGGATCCCACAGAAGGCTAAATTCAGATTCCCCAAGGTTGCGGGAACATTGTACAAGGTATAACAGAGCTCAAAAACTAAATTTTCCCGAACCTCAGCCATAACTACACAAATCATAAGTGGTTGTGTCAACGAACAATCCTTGCTCCAAAAAATGAGTCTGTCAGCAAGATCAATTCCCAGCTACTCAATGACATCCCTGGCCAAGAAACTGTACAATTCCATAGATATTGTGCCTGACATTGAAAATGCTGTCAACTACCCAACTTGAGTTTTTAGACTCTTTGGAACCATCTGGTATGCCTCCACGCAAACTCATACTAAAGCTTGTATGCATAATCATGCTGCTGAGGAATCTAGATGCACCAAAGCTATGCAATTACACAAGGTTGGTGGTAAAGCAGATGATGTCACTTGTTATAGGAGCTACTATTCTGACTGGTCAGTTCAAAGGGGAAGATATATTCATTCCTCGCATCCCACTGCTCCCAAATCACTGCCTGTTTGAGTTAAAAGGCTCCAATTCCCTTTCAAATGTGCTTTGCCATGTCAATTAACAAGGCACGAGGCACAGCTTAAAGGTTGCTTGCGTTTTTTTGAATACACCTTGCTTATCCCATAGATAATTCTATGTTGGATGCTTATGTGTGGGTTCATCTCAAAACCTGTACATCATGGCCGAAGGAGGAAAAACGGCAAATGTCGTCTACACAGAAGCCTTGCAGTAACTCGTGGACCTGCAAGATCACAAAGTAAACCGCTTCGGTTAGCGTAGCTTTGATGGTTTGTGAGTCGTATCACTGAAATCTACATAACATATTGGATCCTTTGGTTGCATGCGTAGCTGTAACGGGTGCAGCTAGTGTGTGTGTGTATATATATATAAAACTTATATTTTTTGATACCTTTCAAATCAAGTGGAAGTCTTGAAGTGCTTCACAGTGCTTGATAGGCACTGAGCTAGAGGTGGGGAATGGAAACGATGACTGAAAGAGCAGTCAATAGGTAGTTTTGAGTGTACGTTGTGTTAGTTGATGGGAAACTAGAAATACCTACAGTTTTACTTGTACAGTATAAGTGCACCGTTTGATCAATATACAGTAGTATTAGAGTTGTACACAATAATTGTAATAAATAAACATTCATTGTACTAATTGTGAAGAATTGAAGAATTTGGTAAGCTCTTTTCCCAACTGAGACTTTCACCTGTCAAGTGTATGTTATTTTTATTTTCCAACTATCAAATTTTGAACTTCGCCAGGAAGGGTGAAATATTTAAGGCCTGTCATTGAAATACCTTTTGAATGCTAGTGAAACAATTGTGATCTTATTATGACAATGATTGTTTTTTTTACTACCAGGGGTTGCTTTATCCACTTTATCCATTACAAGTAATTTGTTTTTTTTGTGAGTTAATCATGGGAAGCTAGCAAAAAGTTTTTTTTAGTTGTACAGTGTGGTAATTTTGTTTAAATTCTGAGGAAGAGACTGGGTAATCTGTGTGAACAATATTAACGGCGGAAGTGAAAGAAAATGGAGTGACGGCCAATGCGCTGCCTCGCGCTTTCTTTACTATGAAAAATCAAAATCTCTTGAGGATAACGGTATTTTTGCGCAGTCTTAAAATAAATACTGAACGGATTAAAGTTTGACATGCAAAGATTTTTGCTTCCACCATTCTTCTTATGGTGTTACTCTTTTCTTTTTTTTCTCCCCCCCCCCCCCCCTCATATTGAGACTGACTCCATGCATGTGATTTGAAAGGCTGTTCAACTGCAGAGAACTTCACAGCCAATTCCAAGCCTCTCCTCACCTGATATCCACACAAGCAAACTTTCCTGAAGGGAGTTACTGTATACTGATCAGGAGCGCAGTCCTTGCCTTCTTTTGTTCTTTTCTTTCTTCCCCTCCCTTCTTTCCTAAATGAAAACACTGCTGAATTGTAGCACACATCCTGCCCAATACTGGAATCTTACAAGTCTGAAACATTCAGCGATTTATGGAATAAGCTCACTGAATCATTCGGGAGTTATGACTGGCTATAAAAATTATCAGTAAAAATAATCTGCTAAAGTTCAAAAGGACCTTTCACATTGATAGTTCAGTGGTGTACCTTATGACCGGTTAAGCCACCAAGACAGATTTGACAGGAAGGTTCCAGTACATCTCAAACCTGATTTAGTATTGCAAGGGGAGTTATTCTATCAGACTCTTTGTGATGCAATATAAATTGAGCATTAGAGAATCTTATCTGATGGAAGTTCAGGGCAATCTTCTGCTTTGTAGTGCAATATATATTTTGAAGGTCAAAGTACATGCCTGAGTAAGAACACTGGAAGGGAAGTGATAATTCTGTTGCCACTTGCAGTTTACTGTATCTGCATGAAGAATCTTAAGACTGGACCTTAAAAGAATATTACACCGTGTTATGGACAGAAATAACATTCTGTCCATCTGCGACCAGTGCTCCCTCTGCCACCCCGTCGTCCTTGACCTCTCCGGTGTCTTCGACACCGTCGACCACTCTATACTTATCCACCGTCTCTCCTCTCACCTCAACCTTCACGGCTCTGTCCTCTGTTCAGATCGTACCTTTCACACCGCCTCCATTTCATCTCCACAAACGGTTTCTCCTCTAGCCCCCGCACCATCTTATGCGGCATTCCTCAGGGCTTTGTCCTTGGTCCCCTCCTCTTCAATATCTATATGCTCCCTTTTGGTAACATAATCTGAGGACTTCCACATATATGCGGATGACACCCAACTCTACCTCTCTTGTCACCACCCTTGACTCCAGGACCACTGCAGTCCTGATAGAATGCCTGTTGGGATGTCCTGGATCAAGTCCTGGATGAGAGTTAATTTTCTTCAGTTGAACATCAACAAGACCGAGGCTCTCCTGATTGGTTCCCATCAGTGTCTCCTCACCTCAGGCGCTGACAGCATCACCATCTATGGTTGCACACTCCACCTTGCAAAGCCAGTCTGGAAACCTTGGGGTCTTGTTTGATCCTCAACTATCCTTTCTACCCCACATCCATGCCATGACACGCTCTGCCTTCCCCCACCTCCGCAATATCGCTCGGCTCCACCACTGTCTCACACCGCAGGCCGCCGAAACCCTCATATATGGTTTCATTACATCGAGGCTCGATGATGCAAACTCATTGCTTGTCGGACTCCCCAACTCCTCCCTCCACAGGCTGCAGATCATCCAGAACTGTAGCCCGTTTCCTCTCCCGCACCAGGCTCCACGAACCTATCACCCCCATCCTTGCCCAACTTCACTGGCTTCCCATCACACAGAATACAGTTCAAGATCCTGGTCCTCACCTTCAAAGCCCTCCATGGTCTTGTTCCCCCCCTACCTCTGTGACCTCCTAACCCCCTACCATCCTGCTTGCTCCCTCCCCTTAGGGGGCTCCGGCCTGCTTCACGTTCCCCGCCTCGCTCGCCCCACTATTGGTGGGCGGGCCTTCTGCCACTCTGCCCCACCCTCTGGAACTCCATCCCGCAGTCCCTCCGCCTCGCCCCCTTCCTTGCCTCCTTCAAGACCCATCTCAAAACCCTCCTCTTCGACCGTGCTTTCGATCTCCCTGCTTCCCCCCGTTGCCCTCCACCCTCCCCGATCCCGGCCCCCAGCTCAGGTCCGAAACTCTGTCTGTCAAGCACTTTGGGACGTCCTCCCAATGTGAATGGTGCTATACAAATGTAATTTTGTTGTTATTAGTTTATTCATTGATCTATGTAGTTATTTTGTGAAGATACTGTTTTAGATGTACTCAGTTTAGTTCATTGCAATATAGGCTTTCTATGACAATGACATGGAGACTGCATCTTAGAAATTTTGTTTAAATTTTTAGTTATTTTGAAATTGTCTTATGTGCTGTTTCAGGAGATTTGAAGTCTTCAGTGCCACCTATTCTTGAGCCATCTGATTGTTTGCCTCTTCTAGCGTCTTCAGAGACTCCATCAGAACCACCTACTCTCAAACCAATAGAACCCAGCACTGACCAGAGCCAGAATAGACTGCACAAAAGAGTCAAATTTGACAATGAAGTCACCAGCACTTCTCTGCAGAATGTGATTATGAATGGACATACCATAGACAACCTGAGTGACAGTGAAATCAGTTGCTCAACAAACACTTCAGTGGTGGAATCTTTGGTTGATGTTGGCAGGCGTACCTCTGTACTTTTCCGAAAAGCCAAAAATGTGAGCCCTCAGAAGCCAGCAAAAAATGCAGAGCCTCAACCACATTCAGGACAGATGGGGACTAAAACCTTCTTGTCTGTTGTAATTCCAAGACTAGAGACACTATTGCAGCCAAGGAAGAGATCACGTAGCTTGTGTGGTGATTCTGAAACAGATGGTGAAAAAGTGCCTCTGAAAAGGCCAGACTTGGGTAAATATCTGCTGAACTTGATTACGGTAGAATATTTCTGAAAGAAAGTTAATTTAAGGCTAAGCGGTTTGTATTATGGTAGGTTCACATAGCAATTACCTAAACGCAATATATTTTATGGTTGGCTTTCTATGTTCTACTATTGGGGGAGTGTTGGTCTTGTTTGTGCAGATAATATTTTAATAATTCACCCTGGGAAACTCAAATTGCCCACAGATTTTAGTTCTAAATGTTATGTTGGTTCAATGTTGATTTGGTTGACTTCTTTTAAGTACCTGCTAACTTCCATAAAATCTATCTCTATCTTAAGAGGGTTTAAATTCCCTTTTGCCATTTTATTTTTCTGAATAGATTGTTAAGAACTGTGTCCTCCCAGCATAGTAAAATGAAAATGCAACAGGAAAATTAAAAATAAACTATGATTTCCCTGCTCTATGGTCAGCCTCTTCCCCCCCCTTCCTCCTTTACTATTTCCTTCAGACTACCATTGTGCCACCTTGTTTGATTGAAGTGACTTACAAACTCTTCTCAGTGTATGACAATTTTATAATACAGGAAATGTTCTTTCAACTTATTTATCAGTGGTGAGAAAAATAGGGCCCCACAGTAGACCTTTTTGGATTTCTGCAAGATACCAGCCACATAGGTTTTTTTGCATTGATTGATATTGATTTATTCCAATTACCAAGCTAGTTTTCAAATCAACCAGCTAACTTGCAATTCACTCTACGAGTTTTAACCTACTTTAACAGTTTCCTGTGGAACTTAATCAGTACCATCTAAAATCCAAATAAAGCATATCTATTGGATGACCCTCATCCCCTGGTTCAGTTACTTTCTTAAATTCCAGTAGATACATGAGGTATGATCTCATTGCTTAAAAAATCATGTTTAGGCTTCTTATAATATCTGTGTTTTTCAGATAAAAATAGATAGCACTCTTGGAAAGGCCTCAACTATTTTATGCCTTACAGATGTCAGGCGAGCAAATATTAACATTTAAGCTTATGGAACTTCTAAAAATATTTACTCATCTACTGTATTTCCTTGAGGATTCTACCACGCAACATACCTTGTCAACATTTAGTGTTTTTTTAAGTTTATTTTAACTTGATCTGCTGATATAGATTTTTTTACATATACATGTGGAAAATCTATTTAACACATGATTCAGCCCACAGAGATAGTAATTCATTCACTTTGCCCAACATATGTCCAGAATTCAGACTCCTTTTTTATAACTGGTTTGTTATTGACATAATCATGCTTCATTTCAGTCTGTTTAGCAGTGTTGAGTCACTGGTGTCTTTAAGGTCTCTTTCTTTTAGGGTTCAGACTTTCTGACGAATAGTTCTCGATACCATTTTTTAAATTTTATTGTGGCCTGCCGGGTGTCTTGCCCCATGGAGAATCCTATCACCTGCTTAAGAGTCTCCAAACCAAACTACTGAATTCTACATGTGTATGGTTTTAAGTTGTAGGCTATGGAGCAGGGACACTCCCTTGAGGGACGCACGTTCCCTGAAGAAATGCACCCTACTTCCTTAATCCTGGAGAATTTTGGAACAAATTGGTGAGAGCCAAGATTTGAGGACCCCACAATGTGCATTAGGGGTAATGTTAGAGTTTAAACAACCAAAATTTGTATTGCAAACATTGGCAAGTTTCTCGCTGCTTGTTTAGCTATAACTACTTTACCCACTAAGACTTTAGCTTGCAGGAATAATGAGAACCAAGTAGACCCTCAGTAACTTGTCTGCCATTCCAAGTCCTGTCGGCCGGTCCATTGTCAACAGTGAATACTGTGACGCTACCTGGCTCAGAAACCAAACCACTTGAGCCTGTCACAGTTCCATGGCCAGGCACGTCAGCTTACATAGATACATGTCAGCTTACAGGTTGTACAGCATGTCCATGCTGGTTTTTATACTCCACATAAGTCTCCACCCACTTCTTCCCACAGACTTCTGTTCCCTTTTCCCTCATGTGTACATTTAGCTTCCTCTTAAATGCATCTGTATTATCTAATTCATCTAGCATTTCTCACTACCTTCTCCATGAAGTTGTTCCTCCTAAATTCTCTTTTAGATCCCTTGATTGCTATTTTATACTTGAGTCCCCTGGTTGCAGACATCCCAACAAGTGGGAACAGCCTAAGATTATGCTAACCTTATCAAATCCTTTTATAATTTTGAGACTTGTAGCCAACTCAGCTCCAAATGACTTTGCTTAACTTCCTCTACGAGGAGAATGCTATATCTCTTGGATTTTACCTATTGTATAATAGAAAAGGAACAGAGTGATTCCATTGAGAGACGATTGAGTATTAAAAACAGCAAAAAGAAGAAGAGCTTTTCAAAAGCTCTGAAGGATAGGATTGCATATTTATAAGCTCAATACCACCCTAGCAGTTTGAATGACTTTTATACAAGTCCAAGGAGAGCTATTCAGAATCCCTAATGATTTTACAATGGAGACAGCTCATTTGATACTTATTAAAACAATCATAATGACAAACTAGGCTAGCTGATTACCCATGATAATAAAACAGTTGTGCATTTACCCCTGTGGTGCAGCTGAGAGATGCCTAACTACAGTAGTTTGCAGGTCCAATGAAATCGAGCTTCAAGCGTTTTTCAAAGCTCTTTACAACTTGCCAACCAGATAAGATTAAGGAATTCTTAGACTTGCTATTGCAATCTTACATGTTCAACGAAAATCTTTGTTGAACTTCCCTATGTCACTGGAGGAGATCCTGCAAGCCATCAATTTACGCTTGCAAGCCAGGCTCCCTGATTCTGATGATTTATCTACACCCTGTTTATTATTAACAAACCCAGAGTTGGTACAGCTTCATACGATTAGCCCTACGACAGATGCATTTTGTGTCAGATAAATGGAGAAAAGCAGTAATCTTTTCCTCGATTATCATTGAAATTTATGTTAAGATTCTGGCTACATGCCTGAACAAATTTATTGCCAAATTATAATGGACATATTCACTGACTACAGTACAAAAAGGTTTGTTTGAATAAAATGATCCATGTCTGAAGATTTTTTGAATCCATTTATCTCCACTATGTATGAGCATGTAACTTGGCATGTTCAGCAAATTTTATAATACAGTATATCAAATTTCCCAAGTAATTTATAAATAGTGTCAATACACAACTTCCCCTCTCCAGACAACTTTTTAAACACATTGTATTACTTTATGCTTCATATTGCTGATGCAGTTTTCATTCCACCTTGCTAATTTATCCTGAATTCCATGGACCTTAGCTCTCTTTAAAAGTTTCACACATGGAATTCTAACACATGGTTTCTAATAATACAAACTTACTGAATTGACCTCATTCACTCATTTAGGGCTTGAAACGAATTTCAAATTCAAGATTTATGAAGCATGAGCTACAGTATTGCACATCTAAATTATTCTTTACTTACTGGCCCTTATCTCTGTCCTTTTTGAATCAGCGTTGATGATATCCATGTGTTCTCAAGTATTTTTCTCACTAAAAATGTTGGGATAAATAGCTTTATTCTCAGGCTTATATAAACTCCTCCTCGTCGGAACTTGCAGAAATAGCTTTGAAACAAATTTGGATGCCCAGATTCACAAGCTGGAAGCTACTACATTTATTTCATAATGTTGCCATCAGTCAAACTGTTCAAATTATGGTCCTTCGGTCCTTCAGTGATAAAATACTTGTATTTCTAATTCAGAAATTGATAACAATTCAGAGCCAGCCAGGTATGTTTATTCCACCATAATACCTATAGTCGCAAATAGCTTGTGTCATATATTAAATGCAAAAATTGTTTTGAATATGGAGCTTAAGCTTCCATTTGCTATTTCCATCAAATTATGGCAATTCCTTGAAAGCAGAATTTTATAATTCATCATCCAAGCAGTATCTTAAGAATTTATAAGATTTTGTGGGGTTTTTTTGCTTCTGATATTATTACTGAGTTTTCGGACTATAGTAACAACAACAACAAAATTACATTTATAGACCGCCGTTCACGTCGGGAGGATGTCCCAAAGCGCTGAGCAGTCAGGTATCGGGACCCGAGCAAGGGGTAGGTGTGGTGTAGGGGTGAGGGAAGCAGAGAGGTGGGAGGGCGACCAAAGGCACAGTTGAAGAGAAGGAGGCAAGAGAGGAAGCGAGGCGAAGAGACCATGGGATGGAGTTCCAGAGTATGGGTCAGAGAAGCTGAAAGCTCGGCCACCGATGGTAGGGCGGGTCGAGCCGGAGACATGGAGCAGACCGGAGCCCGCTGAATGGAGAGAGCGGGCAGGTTGGTAGGGAGTCAGCAGGTCAGAGAGGTAGGAGGGGGCAAGGCCACGGATAGCCTTAAAGGTGAGGACGAGGATCTTGAACTCGATCCTCTGAGGAATGGGGAGTCAGGAGTGGGTGGGAGTGATGGGGTCACGGAGCCTGGTACGTGAGAGTACACGAGCTGCGGAGTTTGGGATGATCTGCAGCTTGTGAAGGGAAGAGTTGGGAAGGCCGATGAGGAGAGAGTTCCCGTAATCGAGCCTTGAGGTGACGAATGCGTGGGTGAGGGTTTCAGCAGCCTGAGGGGTGAGGCAGTGGCGGAGTCTGGCAATGTTGCGGAGGTGGTGGTAGGCAGTGCCGGTCATGGCGCGGATGTGGGGGAGAAAGGACAGTTCAGGGTCAAACAAGACACCCAGGTTCCTGACTGGCTTAGTGAGGTTGAGTGTGCAGCCATGGAGGCTGATGCTGCCAGAGCCTGAGGTGCGGAGGCGCTGGCGCGAGCCAATCAGGAGGGCCTCGGTCTTGCTGACATAGAGTTGGAGAAAGTTGGCCTTTGTCCAGGACTTGATGTCGGACAGGCAGTCGGTCAGGGCGCCAGTAGTCCTGGAATTCAGGGTGAAGGCAGAGAGGTAGAGTTGGGTGTCATCCGCATACATGTGGAAATTCACCCCATGTCTGTGGATGATGTCACCAAGGGGGAGCATGTAGAGGGTGAAGAGGAGGGGACCGAGGACAGAGCCCTGAGGAACACAGCACGAGACAGTGCAGGGGTTGGAGGAGAAACTGTTTGCTGCGACGAAGTGGAGGCGGTGTGAAAGGTAGGACTTGAACCAGTCAAGGACAGAACCTTGAAGGTTGAGGTGGGAGGAGACGAGCTGGAGGAGGATTGAGTGGTCCACGGTGTCAAAGGCGGCGGAGAGGTCAAGGAGGACGAGGAAGCAGAGGGAGCCCTGGTCACACATCTTCAGGATGTCGTTTGTGACCTTGACTAGAGCAGTTTCCGTGCTGTGGGCAGCACGGAAATCCGATTGGAGGGGTTTATGGAGGGAGTGAGAGGAGAGGCAAAAGCGAAGCTGGGAGGCAACGGCTCTCAAGGACCTTGGAGAGGAAGGGGAGATTTGAGATGAGCCGGTAGCTGGATAGCTGTGATGGGTCAAGGGAAGGTTTCGTCAGGGTGGAGGTGATAATGGCTGTTTTGAGGGGGGAAGGAACAGTGCCAGATGACAGGGAGAGGTTAATGATGTTGGCGAGTAGTGGGGCAAAGAGGTGGAGCTGGGATTTAAGGAGAGGGGTAGGGATGGGGTCCTTGGAGCAGGTGATGGGCTTCATGGAGGGTATGGTGGTGAAGACAGTGGAGGGGGTGACAGGTTCAAAGGTGTGGAAGGAGGGATGGGTAATTGTCAGATGGATAATTGTGGGGTGGGGGCAGGGAGGAGTTGGATGTTGGGAGGGCAGTAGCAGCTGAGTGGATTCCCTCGATTTTGAAATCAAGGAAGTCAGCATTTTTTCGCAGTGAGTCAGAGTAAAGAATCTGCGAAGCGTGGCGGGGAGGGCGGGGGAGCCGGTTAGTGGTGGAGAACAGGAGCCTGGAGTTGCCCTTCGCCTCCAGGATTAACCTGGAATAGAAGGATGATTTGACTGTGGCGAGAGTGGAGCGGTAGATCTTAATGAGGTCCAACCAGATGCAGACCGCACCTGGCCCTTAAACGAGTGGAGATGACTGGTGAACCAGGATGAGGATCGGGAGTAGGAGGCAGTTCGGGAGGTGAGGGGTGCAAGGACATCGAGTGTGGTGGAGAGGGTGCTCTGGAGAAGAGTAAGCGCAGCGAGCGGGTAGTTGCCAGAGGGGGAGGAGTTCAAAGGACTCCAGGGCAGCAGGAATTGTGGGGAGATCTTCTTCCACAAGTGGTAGAAGATGGTGGTAGGTTTGGAGACAGTGGGGAGAGGGATATGGGAGCTGAGGGAGTTGAAATGGCGGTTAGAGGTGGCCTTGCCAGTGATGGTGACAACCGAGACGCTGAGGCCCTGGGTGATCACTAGGTCGAGCGGGTGACCGTGGTTGTTGGTAGCAGAGTGGATGTGCAGGGAGAGGTTAAGAGAGGAGAGAAGAGAGGAGAAGTCTGATGAGGTGGAGCAGGAAGATGTCTTGTAACGGGACATCGTGGAGTCCTGCAGCTCAGTGGTTAGAGCATTCGCTTTGCAAGCGAGAGACCTGAGTTCAATCCCAGGCCGGGCAAAACCTTGGGCAAGTTTCCTTACTCCACACAGAGCCTAATAATAATCCCTCCAAAACCAGAAACAATAATAAAAAAAAATTGGTCATTTTCAATCTACGACTGTTTGTGGGACATTGCTGTGCGCAATTGGCTGCCGCGTTCGCCCACAAATATACAGTCAATTCACTTTACAGTGCGTTCTGTGAAGCGCTTTGGGACGTCCTCCCGACGTGAAAAGCGCTATATCAAATGCAAGGATTATTATTATTATTGTTAGGGTGAAAATAACATTTTCATATTTGGGGGAAAAGCTACAAGAAAATATTAGTGGAATACTAAACTTCCAGGGGAATATTAATAATAATATAATAACTCTTGCATTTGATATATCGCCTTATCAGGTATTCGAGATGTCTCAAATCACTTCACAGAATATATTTTAAAGTTTTGAATCCACCTTGCTAATTTATCCTGAATTCCATGGAACTTAGCTCTCTTTAAAAGTTTCACACATGGAATTCTAACATAGGTTTCTGATAATGCAAACTTACCTCATTCACTAATTTAGCGCTACAGTATATTTCACTTTACAGTGTATTACAGAATTGGCATATTCTTAATGTGACTTAAGTTGAGTGATGTAAACAAAACTTTTGGACCTTTGCTCTCTGAAATGTGATGCAATTTCTGCAACTCCAAACACAGGAATTTGTAACTTGCATGTTTGTCTACAAAATTCTCAGTATGTTTTTAAATTAAACTTACGAATGCAAAGAAAGGCCTAAAATGAAGGAACAAATGTAAATACAAGGTATACTTAGAATGAAGGACCAGATGTTTCATAGATCTTAGAAGAATGTACTAATAAATCTGTGGCCTGTTTAAAGTAAGATCTGTTCTTTGGGTTCATTTGACAGTGTTAGTGATTGATTCCCCCAAAAAGTCCAGGAGCAATTTTAAAAGCTTAACTTATTGACCAGGTTTTCACTATTACAATTGTTTCCGTTTTAATTTTCTAGCACTTTCTAATGGCTTTAGTAATGAGGAGAAGCCTGAAACTGCACAATCCAATCCACTTGATCATCAGCGTCGCCGATGTGCTTCAGAATCTAGTATATGCACAAGTATCAGTGTGGTTTCGAACCAAGCAAGGTAAAAAAAATGCTTTAACAAAGTGGATTTTGTGTTCTTGGGTGGTGGGGTAATTCTTCATAGAGTGATTAATTTAAAGTTGAATTCTAGAAATTACGATAGTATTTTTTATTTGAATGTTTTATGTAGGCATAACATTTTTTGTAACAATTTTGATATTTTTTTTGAATAATAATTCTAAATTTTCCAGAACATTGGATCTTAACTTATGTTCTGAAGGTTTATGTTTTCACGTGCCTTTTTCATATGAACATTTCTGCAAGGATTTATTTTACAGTGATATTGTCATACATTGTTTACATATCTTAATCAACAGGATTTCTTTTAGCATTATAAAACCTTTTGCTGATTTTAAAATCTTAACTCTTTCTAATAGTACTATATGCCTTCCAAAATGTGGCAAAGGGAAACCAGCTCTGGCTCGAAGGAATCCATTCGAAGACCGAAATGAGTTGATTGCTTGCATTGAAAATGGCAACTTTGCTAAAGCAGCTAGAATTGCAGCAGGTAAACAATCCAGAATTATAACCATGATCTATGGACTAAAAATAAGTGTCACTTTGATATGTCAGTTATACCTATACATTTCTTTTCAGTCATCACATTCATGCGTAAAAGGCAAAAATTTCAACCAACATTTGTAAATTGGATAACTTGTTAGTAAATGTTGTTAATTTTCAATATCGCTAAAAAAGATTAGGAGGGGGAAAGAGGGGAAGAAAAGGATAAGTGATGAGGTGTCATGCTATTTGAATATTGCCCTCTCCCAAGTCCTATATAAGGAGAGCTAACCCACAGAGCATTTAGCTTGTTTTCATTGCAGGTGAAATTAACCTTTACTCTATTGCACTGCTAATTTATGAAATAAATGCTTTACGATTCCTTGCATCATAACTGGGTACCACAAAAATCTTGTAATTTCCTAAATATTCAAACCTTATCTAAATACTGTTTCTGGAATGACAGTAATTCAATCTCTTTTGGCCGTCTTGAATCATGTTTGTTAATTATAAGGTACAAGAAAGAAAATAATATTCTCTCCTGTTGAGTACCTTATTTTATTTTCCCAGAGGTTGGCCAAAACAACATGTGGATTTCTGCTGATACCAATTCTGTCATGGAACCCTTAAAGCTGATTTGGGCCAAGTGTAGTGGTTACCCTTCGTATCCAGCATTGGTAAGTTAAACTTCATGGCTGAGTTTATTTTGACGAACATTATGTTAAATCTCAACACAGTAAATTATAATCTACAATCATAAAACTGAGCTGTGTATGAAAGGTATCGGCTATGGCCTGGGCCAATAGAAAAGTGCAGACATTTTGGAAAAAATAATTGCGAGGGTTTGCGAATCTTGCAGGAAACTGTGGGGTTTGATTGGTGCTATTGAGGTGCATTTTACTGCTACATTTTTTCACTTTATTGATAAAAATTGAACATAAGGAAATAACACATATTAGATTGTTGCAAAAAAAATTCTTAATTGCTTCTTAACAAAAACTAGCCTTTTTTTTGGGGGGGTGGGCTACAGGAGCTCACCGCCTCCTGCCTTTCAAGGCATGCACTGCATACAGACACAGAGAGAGAGACACACACACTCAGAGACACAGCGAGAGACACGCAGACAGAAAGGGAGACACACACTCAGAGACACACAGAGATACACACACACACACACGCGCACATATACAGAGAGAGAGAGAGAGAGATACACACACTCGTAAACACACAGAGAGAGACACACACACATTCTCAGAGAGCAAGAGACACACACATACTCGTAGACACAAAGAAACATACACAGACAGAGACACACATTCACACAGAGCCACTCATAAAAACACACACACACACACACATATAGAAGAGACATAGACACCCTCACATAGAGAGATACACACAGACAATCACACCAGCAGGGCTTCCGAGTGTAGCCCATTTGTTGCTTGGGCTGCACTGCGCGTGCAGATCCGGAGCCGCTCCGTCCTCAGTGATGTCAGGCAAACAGCACGAGCGGCCCGCGGGCCACAAACTGCATTCATGGCGGATTTGTAGCGGACGAGGTCCATTGCAGCGTAGAGTGCAGAAAAGGTGCGCCCGCACTTTTGTATTAGCCCAGGCTATGACTAATGGCTACTGCTCTTCTCTTCTGGAGATTGTGGGTATATTCTAATGCCTTACGGGCAAAAGAGAACAATGTTTTAAAAAGCAGTGTTTCTATTCAAATACAGTAAAACTAAGGGAAATAGCTCAAATGATTACTTAGCAGAACCGAAGTACAGTATCTCCAAAGTGCTCGAATAGCCGGGATATATTAGTGAGTGACTAGTTATGTGGTGTTGACCACTTTTCCCAGAGGCTAGTTATCAGAGTTTCACTGTATTCATTATAAGTTTAAGCATTAAACAAGAATTGTGGTTATTATTACACATTCAGAATGTTCCTGTTCGCAGTATATGAATAAATTGTGCTCAAATTGAGAGGCACAATGGATGTTCCGCTTGTATGGACCGAAGTAACGACCACTTTTGAAAAGTGAATGGGTTGACGCTCACCAAGATGAGTAACCTTGTTAGAACTGAGATGTATTTACTGATGAAATTGATCTATGATCAAACTTATCTGAACTGGGTTTCTTGCCCAAAAGTGTATTTAATCTGAATGCATACTGTACCTTTAATGGTTCTCAATGAAATTGTTTATAAATTTATTTTTTTAAGGAGCATATTAACCTTTAGAACAGATAAATAAAATTCTATTATATCTCGTACATTAATGCTGAGCCAAATTTAGTAAAGAATGCAGTTTTATTTCCAATGATATTCTTGTATGACTAAAATATACACTTCAACCGTGCCCTCAGCTCCCCTCTCGACTCTCTACCCCCTCCTCGCTCCCTCCCTTCCCTCCACTCACCCTGACCATTTCCCCCCTGCTCAGATCCCGACCCAACGGTCCAGGGACGTCCTCCCGACATGAAAGGCGCTCTATAAACGCAATCATGTTGTTGTTCTTTAAGCATTTTAAAATGAAATATTTAAGAACGTTTATTTTCCTTTAACAAAAAACAGAAGTCGTTGGGAACACTCAGCAGGTCAGGCAGCATCTATGGAGAAAGGAAAGTGGTCAACGTTTCAGGTCCATGACCGTTCTGACGAAACGTTGACTCACTTCTGTTTTTGTTTCAGATTTCCAGCATCTGCAGTATTTTGTATTTTGTTTATTTTCCTTTTTTTTCTTCCAACAGTTACATGTTTTTTATTTAAAACTCATTATCTCTTCTCCCTTTTATTCTATTCTAAATTTCTAATTTCTAATTTCATGTTTAAATGTTTTGGAGTTGGGGTTAACTTGCATTTCTTACATTTGATATCTACTTGGTCAGGAAGATTAGATTTTTTTTAAGCTTCAAATGTTTAATAAGTTATCTTATTGGTCTTATCCCAAGGTTTAATATTCCACAAAGATTTCCTTTTAATATTTCTCTTAAAGCCCCACTTCATTATAATTCAAAGATAGTAGCATTTTAAAGAGAATACTCACTACCATCTTCTCAGGATATCGCGGGCTGGGCTGTAAATGCTGGTGAAATAAATACCACCCCCATGCCAAAATTTGTTTTCAGATAAGTTTTAAAAAATATGTTTTAACAAAATTACCTTTTTAATTAGGTAATTGACCCAAAGGTGTCTCGAAATGGCTGTCGACATAACGGAGTGCTTATTCCTACACCCCCGCAAGATGTATTAAAAATTGGAGAGAGCATGCAAAGGAAATCAGTGGAGAAATTGTTTCTTGTTCTGTTCTTCGATAACAAACGAAGCTGGTAAGTGTTTCCAGTTATAAGGGGGAAGGAGGGGAGAAGATTTTGTTTATCATATGCAGCAGACGTGTAAAGAATGAGCACAATTTTGTTTCGGTTTTGTAGGTTTAATTGCATTGCACATCCTCCTACTGTTATCATTTTCTTGTCTACTATTACTTTTACTACATTTTATAGTAAATCATGTGAAGCTCTTTCAGACGTTTTGATGATGTATATTAAACGCAGGATATTAATACAGCTGCTTTGTCAGTTAAGTCACCAAAATTTGCAACCATCTAGATAAATGTTAAATCTGGTTTTACTTGTTCTTTACAGTCTTAACGTTTGAACTTTTTAAATGAAAACATGTTTAAATGTCCTTTTGGGGGGTTTCTGTCCCTTGTTACCTAAAGCCATCTACTTATTACTGATTTTGATGGTTCCATTTATTTACAGAATGAAGTGGTAAGTAAATTTCTAAATTTCTGTTATTGATCAAGATATGCAATTTTCTTCCAACAGGCAGTGGCTTCCAAAATCCAAAGTGGTTCCACTCGGTATTGATGAAACTATAGACAAAATAAAAATGATGGAAGGTCGAACTTCTTCCATTCGGAAATCTGTTCGCATTGCTTTTGATCGGGCGATGCTTCATCAATGTAGAGTTCGAGGTGAACAAACGAGTGACTTTAGTGATATTGATTGAAAATGTATCAAATGTGGGAGATAAACCCATCTGGTCTCTTAAAAAAAAGGAACATTTACAGAAACATCTCTCAGCTCTTAACGAATGTATTTTACTTTCCACTGTTGTATCAATCACTGTTCCAGTAGTTGTGCTCTGAGAAATGGTAGCACCTGCTGATTCACTGCCAGCTGTAATTATGTTTTTCGTACATAATTTACTTTCTTATATACCTGCAAACTTTCCACTATAATCTTTTGACCAGATTAACTTGTTCATAGTGTTTATAACTCATGAGACAAAGCTGTAAATACTTTAAATTATTCTGTTAGTCAAAATTAGTTAATAGCTGTTTCTGGTTCTTTCATTTTTTTAAAAACACAAATCTGAATGTTCTGTAACTTATTAAACAAAAAGGAAGCTGTTGATGTAACCAAGTACCACATACCAGATAATTTTGGTGCAGAATATGCTCAAAGTGTTAATGCTCAAAATCAAGAATTTGATAACTTTAAATGGTGTGCAATAGAGCAGTAAAATGAACCTGTAATTCTACCAAAAGAAACAAATTCATTTTTTTTCATGTTTTCTATTTTTATACTTTTACATTTGGGCTGTGCTTCACAATATTAAAAGTCAAACGTGTCTATTCCCAATTCTGAATAACTAGATTTCTCTATATTTTTCACCCGGTGCTAGGTTTTAATTGTTCATTTTTTCCCTTTTAATGTCATTGACATAGTTGTCATATACCAAAAATGTGTTGCATAATCTGTATTATGCAGAAAGTAAACATTTCCAGGGAAGGGATTGCATTTTTTATTATTGTTGCTCTTAGTGCATCATAACATCGTGATCATCTGATACTCAGTTGGCAGAACAGGGCAGAGTAATGAAACGGCAAATACTATTACTGTTCTGTGAATGCGTTAGCTCACATGGAGAAGCTGGGCAACAGTTTTGATTTTCATCTTTTCTTCTTCCTTTCCGTGCAGTCTGGCCAAAGTGCAGACATTGAACCTACTTTCAGTGCAATATTAAGTGAACACCTTACCTTCTATATTGCTGCTTTGTTTGATTTCTATTCATGGTGCCAGAAAAAGTAACAAATTGTAGCATTAACCCTGTCTAGTATTCAAAGTAGTATCATTTTAGATCAAGCTACATTGGAAGGGAATACCTTGTTCAAGTTTGATTTTGAATACTTATGAAATGCAGTTTCAAGAGAACATCCCCAAAAGTTGACACTGCCCAGAATGCCTAATATGCTGGATTGCTTGTGTACTAAGTGGTTTTGTAGCCTATGTATACATTGTATATGAATTTACAGTACTTCAAACTTGTAACTTTTTTACTTTGTTGGGAAGGGTGTTGTAATATTCATTTATTTTCTGCTGTGATTACTCTGGGACCTGTACACAATTTTTTTAAGACAATTTGTGCCTGCGTTTGTTTTTTAATTTATTGTAGAAAGTGTACAGATTTGCTTTGTAGTAATTTTTATAAGCCGCTGAACTGATTTGAAAATGAAATTTGTAAAAGTGTTATACTATAGAACAAACTTGATTAACCACAGGCACATTGGTTTAAAACTACTTTGGGAAGTAATAAATGTGATGCAAGCTGTTCTTTTGCATATTCTGTAATGGTGTTTTAATAGCTCCTTTGTGTGTTTTTTTTAGTGAATGTTAAGATGTAATATGTGGGGCGGGGGAAATGTATGGTTCTATTAGGGAAAGGGAAAGTGGGTAGCTTTAGATTTTTTTAATTTTGTTTTTGAATGCATTTTGTATGATAAAATGTGATGTGGGTGTGAGTGTGTATAGGATCAGTACTTCAAATTTTAATTTGAAAAGCTGTATAAATATTTTGTTTGGGTCAAAACATGGGGATAGGGTGGGTTAAAAGTACTGCTTTTTCATTTTATGATTTAAAAAAAATAAAGGTGCGTTTCAGATTCTCTGAACCATAAAATCTCCCTATTACTGCTGGGAGTAGGTACATTTTTCCTTTCTTCGAGTCTCATGGCTGACTAGTTAGAGTTGAAGAAAAAATAATTTGCATATAATACAACAACAACAAGATTCCATTTATTGAGCGCCTTTCACGTCGGGAGGACGTCCCAAGGCGCTGTACAGTTGGGTCAGGAGCAGTGGGGGAAATGGTCAGGGTGAGGGGAGGGAAGGGAGGGAGCGAGGAGGGGATAGAGAGTCGAGAGGGGAGCTGAAGGCACGGTCAAAGAGAAAGGTCTTGAGACCGGCCTTGAAGGAGGAAAGGGAGGAGGCGGCGAAGGCACTGGGGGATAGAGTTCCAGAGCCTGGGGGCTGAGAGGCTGAAGGCCCGGCCACCGATGGTAGGGCGGTTGGGGCGGGGGATGTGGAGCAGACCGGAGCCAGAGGAACGGAGGGTACGGGCAGGTAGGTAGGGGGATAGTAGGTCGGAGAGGTAGGAGGGAGCAAGGCCGTGAATGGCCTTGTAGGTGAGGATGAGGATCTTGAATTCGATCCTCTGGGGGATGGGGAGCCAGTGGAGGTGAGCGAGGGTGGGAGTGATGTGGTCCCGAAGCCTGGTGCGGGACAGTACACGAGCTGCAGAGTTCTGAATGACCTAATAATAATAATAATCATTGAATTTAATATAGCACCTTATATCATTGAGATGTCTCAACGCACTTCACAGAATATACTGTAAAGTAAATTGACTATATTCTGTGGGCGAAACATGGCAACCAATTGTGCACAGCAGTGTCCCACAAACAGTCGTGAATTGAAGTGACCAATTTATTCTTATTTTATTTTTTTGAAGGAGTTATTACCCCCAGAAAAGTGATCCGCAAATTAACAACCAGGGTCCTATTTACTGCTAGGTAAACAGTCGTAAGGAAACTTGCCCAACATTTCGCCCTGCTGGGAATCGAACCCAGGTCTCTCGCTTGCGAGGTGAGTGCTCTAACCACTGAGCTACAGGACTCCACATATACTTGTATTAAAAAGAATTGTGAAAATGAAATAGCAGAATTAACTAGCATAAAACATTCTAAATTGATTTAACATCTAAATTGATTTATCAACCAAAAATATCAGCAATCAAGACTGCTATTTGTGCAAAACTAAGAGTTCACTTGACTCTGGGCTGAAGCATTGTCCTGTGTGTTCCTGTGTGCGCCGTACATACTAGAAAGGTGCAGTAGAGTGTGACCCTTCAGCAGTTTTTAAATGTGTTTTTCAGATGCTGATAAGTCCACTTTCAGCATTTAGTTTTTGTTCGGTTTACAGAAACTTATTTTTTTGTTTGTTTAAACTCATGCTAGACAGTCTTCAGAACGATTCCTGCTCTGTGCTTGTACCTAATTTCACTTATCTGTGGGTAAGGATTTTGTAGAACCTGGAAAGTAGAAGATGGGTGGGGTGGAAGAAAGTTGCTGGGCATATTTTTCTTTGAAAATTCTGCGATTAGCTATGTAGCTCATATATAATCAAGAACGGCCATGAGATGGCAGCACCCAGTGTACCATACTCCAGCAGGAATCTGCTTCTTCAGGATCTGCAGAGAAAACAGAAGCTAACTATAAAAATCTTAAAACTGTTTTGTAATAATGCAGAAGCTATGTGCTCAGTTTTCATGAGCCACAAACATTGTTTCAGCATCTGCATAATCATTTTTTTGTTCCAATTTGTTTGCATGTGTTAAGCATCCATTATTTGTCACCTGAATCATGACTAATAATAAATGCTTAGAAGACTTAAGATTTATTTAAACATAACTCGCTAATTTATAAATGTCAAGTGGCTGGCTGTCTCAACAGGTTTAAGCATTGGATTTAAATTTGCTTAGCTCATGCCACAGTTCCAAAGAAATAAGCAACATGATTCTTTGTTGAAACCTGACCAAAGTCTTTCAAAAATAATACTTAGTATTTGCTAATCCAATACTTAGATTTGAATCTAGGTGGAAACAATATTTTGAGGTTAATCCTAGGATTCTATAACATGATACAACTCAAAATGAAAGATTGAATGTTTAATGAAAAGTCTTTGCTTCCAAATTCTCCATACATAAAAACACACACACAATCTGTAAACTGCTCTATTGTAGTGAACCATTTCTCGTTGCATAGGTGGACAGGTACAGTACTACACAATTACCATTTTTGCTTACAGAGCTAATACAGCAATGAATACTGAAAAGATTTTCAATTGGAATAAAATTTGCAAAACTGCGGTTGATCTCACTGTGACAAACATAAGGATAATATTTCTCTTCATTCACATAATTGCAGTAGAAATACAACAAGGGCACACTTGGGGAGTTAGTGAAGCATAAATATCAAATTGTTCTTTTCATCAAATAATATAACAACAACAAGATTGCATTTATAGAGCGCCTTTCACGTCGGGAGGACGTCCCAAGGCGCTGTACAGTTGGGTCAGAACCCGAGCAGGGGGGAAATGGTCAGGGTGAGGGGAGGGAAGGGAGGGAGCGAGGAGGGGCAGAGAGTCGAGAGGGGAGCTGAAGGCTCGGTCGAAGAGAAAGGTCTTGAGACCGGCCTTGAAGGAGGAAAGGGAGGAGGCGGCGAAGGCACTGGGGGATGGAGTTCCAGAGTTTAGGGGCTGAGAGGTTGAAGGTCCGACCACCAATGGTAGGGCGGTTGGGGCGGGGGACGTTGAGCAGACCGGAGCCAGAGGAACGGAGGGTACGGGCAGGTAGGTAGGGGGATAGTAGGTTGGAGAGGTAGGAGGGAGCAAGGCCGTGAATGGCCTTGTAGGTGAGGATGAGGATCTTGAATTCGATCCTCTGGGGGATGGGGAGCCAGTGGAGGCGAGCGAGGGTGGGAGTGATGTGGTCCCGAAGTCTGGTGCGGGACAGCACATGAGCTGCAGAGTTCTGAATGACCTGCAGCTTGTGGAGGGAGGTGCCGGGAAGGCCGGCGAGGAGAGAGTTCCCATAGTCCAGCCTTGAGGTGATAAAGGCATGGACCAGAGTTTCAGCAGCGTGAGGGGTGAGGTAGTGCCGTAGTCTGGCGATGTTCCGGAGGTGATGGAAGGCGGTGCCAGTTGTGGCGCGGATATGAGGGAGAAAGGACAGCTCAGGGTCGAACAGAACCCCGAGGTTCCTGACTGGCTTTGAGAGGTGGAGAGTGCAGCCTTGGATGCTGATGTTGTCAGTAAATAATAAATAAATCATAAATAATGAAATATACAGTCAATTAACTTTCCAGTATATTCTGTGAAGCACCTTGAGACGTCTCGATGACATGATAAGGCGCTATATCAATGCACAATTATTATTATAACTTTGAAGTCCCCTAATTAGCTGAAGTTATTTTTGGTTCAGTCCTGGTGACACATATCCTGAAGTTGCTAATGAATGGCAGCACGTGTGCCTCAGTGTTGAATGTAATGCTATAGTATGCTATTAGAAAAGGTGCTTCAATAACTTAAACGTTATTGAAGCACCTGTAGCATCAATAACTTATTGGAGTCCTGTAGATCAGTGGTTAAAGCACTCGCCTCATAAGCGAGAGACCTGGGTTTGATTCCTGGCAGGGTGAAACGGTCAAGTTTCCTTACTCCAAATGCCTCTGTTTACCTAGCAGTAAGTAGAAACCCGTTTGTTAGTCGATTGGCAGATCACTTTTCCGGGGGTAATAATTCCTTCAAAAAATAATAATAATAATTTGGTCACTCAATCCACAGCTGTTTGTGGAACACTGCTGTGTACAATTGGTACTGTGTTTCGCCTACAAAATTTACAGACAATTCACTTTACAGTATATTCTGTGAAGCTTTTGAGACATCTCGAAGACGTGTTAAGATGCTATGTTAAATGTAAGGATTGCTATTATTAAAAGGATATGACTGCAAGATGCTATTTGTTTAATCCTATTCATATATCAGTTTATTTTTTATAAATGGTACAAGGAAGGAAGTAAAGCGATCACAGTCTTGAAATCCTGAGAAAAGTGTTTAATAGTTGGAGGCAACGGGTCAATTTCAACAATAGTGACAGTGGAGTGAGCGGTAAAGAATTAGGATGAATTATCAATTTCAGATTACATTTAAAAGAAAACCTGCTGACTGATAACATAACTGTTGGAGGACTTAAGAGAATAATGAGTTTGATGTACATATCATCAATCCCTGTCACTCACTTGGAAATGCCATCTTACTGAAAGTTGACATGATGACTTCCATATGTTTCAAAGCATTTCACAGGATCTGTAGTAAAGTGTAATGCTCTTATTTTGCAGTCAAAAATGGCAGCCAATCTCCACATAACAAAGTCGCACAAACGACAAATGTGAAATGATGATACATCATTAAAGTTTTGAACATCATTGAACCAAGAGTGTGTAACAGCCCACAATATCACCAATAGAGGTTCCATGTTGAATACCATTTTGGTCACCATAAATAAACTGGAAATTTAAAGGTTTAGTGCCTATTGGTGTTGGGAATTAACAGGAGCTTCTTCTTCCCCAGCTCGGTGTCAGACTCCTCCACTATGAAGTGTTGTATCAGAGTAAACTTGTCTTGCATCAGTTTATGATATAGCTGATGTTGCTCATGTTTGGCGTGAGCCTTAGCCCTTAAAAGAGAAATGTGTTCTGTTCTCCAGTATCACAAATACGCTGGAGACAA